GCAGGAGAAAGGATATTATGCTAAGAGTACTGAACGCGGGAAAAAGTGTAAGATTGAGAAGGAAAGACCCAAACAGAACTTACCGGAATGCTCAATTTGTGGTAGGCATAATCATGCCACCGCGAAATGTTATTGGAAAGGCAAGCCGAAGTGTACGTCCTGCGGTAAATTCGGACATGAGACTTCGGTGTGCTGGGGAAACAAAACTTCAGGAACATCATCCAGACCTCAAAAGCCGAAATGTGCTTACCAAGTGCGAGGTGAGGGTGACGAGACTGATATGGAAGTCGAAGACGAACCTAACATTGCATTTATGATTCAGTCTAATTGTGCCCCAAAGAGGGACCAAGAGTCAATGATCTGGTACGAATGGTTCGCAGATTCAGGAACAACATCACATATAACTACAGTTTGAACTGCACTCACAGATTATGCCCCAATGAAAAGTGAGGTGGTCGGGATAGGGAATGAACCCCTTGAAGTAAAAGGGCGAGGCACAGTCGAACTTGAAAGCTATATGGGCAAACAGAAGGTCAAATTTTACTTAAAGAATGTACTATACGTACCGAATGCATCAAACAATTTGTTATCCGTACGCCAGTTGGATAAAGACGGCGGATGTGCTAAGTTCGGCGGTGGGAAAGTGTCCTTGTACGCTAGACAAGGTCAACACATCGCAGAAGGAAATATTGATCATGGCCTATATAAATTAAATGTGAGAGCAAAATTAAAGCCTATAGCAAGAGCACATACTGTACAACGAAGACCAGCAGCCGATTGGCTGATGTGGCATTAATGATACAGACATGTGGCTATTACTGGCCTTAAGAAGCTATATAATGAAAAGTTAGTAGACGGCTTTAATGTGGATGGAAGTGAACCTTCATTTGAATGTGAAGTGTGCATACGCGCGAAACAAACTAGGGAATCTTTCCCAAAATCAGTAGATGAACGAGCAGAGAAACCATGCGAACTTACGTGAGCTGATAACATGATGCAAAGAGAAGGGAATAGTCTTACAAACCATGGCACCATATTCACCACAACAGAATGGTGTATCTGAGAGACAAAACCGAACACTAACAGAATTAGCAAGAGCGATGATAACCGATAGAAACCTACCAGAGTTCTTATGGGCTGAAGCGGTTGCACATGCTGCATATGTGAGAAATCAGGCACCGACCCGAGCATTAGACCATATAATCCCTGAAGAAGTATGGAGTGGTAAAAAACCTGATGTGTCATACTTACAAGAATTCGGCGTACCTGTTTATGTTCTCCAGGAGAACGCCAATCAGTCGAAAATGCAGCCTAGGTCCTTGAAACAAGTCTTTGTCAGTTATGTGGATGGACCGAAGGCAATACGATACTATGACGCCCAAACACATCAGATATGAGTGAGCAATTATAAATTTATAAGCTCACCAGAAAACTCTCCACAAAGCACTAGTGATGTGCAGCGCAAGGGGGAGATTGATATGGGAGAATTAGACGCACAGACATCAGGGGGAGCTGATGCGCAATCACCTGTACAAAAACACTCCAAGGATGAACGGCAATCAGATATACGAGAACACTTACCAGAAAACAACTCAGATAAGGATACATCCGCAAGTAATAAGCGGAAAGAACCACCTGAGACACAAGAGATGCCCAGAAGAACTAAAAGACAGACGGTTAGAAAAGACTACCACAAGATGAATGAACCAGACTTCGAGGATGACGAGAATAATAAAGCTAAGTCATATGAAGTCAAAAACGGTGAACTGCCATTGCCAGAACTCACAGAGGAAGATATAGTCTTGATAGCGATGGTAGAAGGAGGACACATTGAACCCAACGAGCCAAAGAACCTAAGAGAAGCACAGGCATCAATTGATTGGCCAAAATGGGAGGAAGCAATACAAGCTGAACTTACCCAGCTAAACGAAATGGGTACTTGGGAATTGGTAGAACCACCCGAGAATAGGACGCTCGTCGGAAACAAATGGGTCCTGGTTAAGAAAACAAATAAAGAAGGCGAAGTTATTAAATATAAAGCAAGGTTAGTAGCGAAAGGATACTCACAAATTCCCGGTATGGACGACACAGATACTTTCGCACCGTTAGTACGTCTTGAGTCGATTTGATCGACAATGTCTGTTGCAGCTGCCCTAGATTGAGAAGTTGAGCAGATGGACGTAAAAGGAGTGTATTTGAACGGCACCTTAACAGAGGAGGTGTACATGGTCCAACCGGAAGGGTATGAAGATGGTACAGGAAGAGTGTGCCGACTTCGAAAGACCTTGTATGGATTGAAACAATCTGGACGTGAGTGGAACATTGAATTAAATAGTCATCTAACAAAGATAGGATTTAAACGTACCAAGTCGGATCCATGTGTCTATATAAGACAGACCGAGACAGGCACACAGATCATAACAGTATGGGTAGATGATCTACTCCTGTTTGCTAATAGTCCCGATCTTATGAGTCAGTTAAAGACGCAGTTAAAAGAGATATTGGATGTTACCGATCTAGGAGAACCTAAGAAAATAGTAGGCATCGAGATAACAAGAGACCGTGCCAAGAAAACAATTAAGTTGTCTCAAGCACGGTACATAGACTCAATCCTGCAAAAATATGGTCTCCAGAACTGCAATGCAGTAGGTATGCCCATGGATCTGAAAGTCGTATTAGAAAAGGAAGATACCGACACAAAAGGCGAGTGTAGTAATAGTTACGCCTCATTAGTTGGATCTTTAATGTATCTAGCAGTGGCGACACGTCCCGACATCGCATATGCGATTCAGAGATTGAGCTCTTTTAACCGCAAATCCTGGACTAGCACATTGGTCAGCGGCAAAACAGGTATTAAGATATCTAGCAGGGACTAAAGACCTCGGAATTAAGTATTGAGGAACCGATTCCACAAACGCCAAAGTCAAATTTGAGGGATGGACAGACACAGACTATGCTAATGACATCCGCGATAGAGTCTCAGTATCAGGATACGTATTCAAGCTAAGTGAAGGAGCCATTACCTGGAGTTCCAAGAAACAAAATGCCATCTCACTATCCTCAACAGAGGCAGAAATATACAGCAATGGCATATGGAGTGAAGGAAGCGGTATGGCTTCGATACTTGTTTGAAGATTTGAATTTGGCCCAAGAAGGACCAACAATCCTATATGGAGACAATATGGCAGCGTTAGCGATAGCTCGAGACCCTCAATATCATGCGAGATCAAAACACTTTGATGTAAAAAATCATTACATCAGGAATAAGATTCGCGAGAAAATAATACAAGAGACATACTGTCCTACAGAAAGGATGATAGCAGATGTACTCACAAAACCGCTAGCTAAACCATCACATCAGAGACTCTCCAACATGATGGGCATGTCTCCAGATTGAGGGGGAGTGTTGTGACATAGCAATCAGCCGACATGGTTCGTGCACTTCCTAGCAGAGTTACGAGAGCATCTGAGTGGCGGAGTAGTTAGTTGATATAATAGATAAACGGAATCAGCCGAATATATTCTGCGCGCCACGAACTCCTATTATCGTCGCTGTTCCTACTAAGCCCGGAACCTAAATTTTAAGAGTACACACCGCTGCTAGTCGTTATTCACCTAAATCAGATCGCCTGAGGGCTCCAAGCATGGTCCAAATGAATTATTTCCCGCTTGGTAAACACGTGCTGCGCTGCTGCAAAATGTACAGCGTGTCCTCACAAGTTTCCAACTGATATATAGCTCGTGGTCATCACTCATATGAATAAGACAGCCTTGATAGCTAAAGTAGGGTGCAAATCAAGGCTTTCTGGCTTGGCGGACACGCTCTGACCCTCTGGAAGACATGGGCCTCAGCTCTTATTTTCAAAAGTGCCGACCTTACTTCTGAGGTGGCAGCGCTGATTCATCTAGGCTGAGCACCAACTCGTGTCCCATCTCCCCTCCAAGTCCGAGTGTGAGTGATATCGCGTCGTTTTGCGCATCATTAACCTCTGTAGGACAATCTCCAAGTATTCTTACCTCTATAAGGCCAAAGATAACAATGTGATCCCCCATAGCAGAATTGTGTTGATTCTTGTTATTTTGTACTATATATTGTTATACATACTCTTATCAAAGCTTCACCGGTTCACTGATGCTTCATGATTCACCTCTTACAAAACAAAACCATTGAGATCAGAGAATCGGCATCTTCAAGTTTAATCACTTGTTACTCAATGAATGTTAACTCTCTGCTCAGGATCTACAAAGACGGTCGTAAGTCCTTACTTATTAGTAGGAGAATCTCGGTGAGCACTTAAAGAACCGAGGGGCGAAGTTCTGAGCTCTGTTGCATCGTCTCCCCATAGTTATCGTAGCAAGACTTGTCATGACGTCCACAATACCATCTACTCCGAGTCCATTCCAGTGGTGCGAGCAATGACATTGTCACGGTATTCTCTGTGGTTCTTCCTGGCAGTCGTCGCGCTTGCGGCTTCGCGAATCCTAAGGTCATGAAAATGATGGATTTGATGATGGATCACGTGGTCGAAGCGCGTTCGCGTTGGGCCAAGGTTGCAACGTTGAATATACATATTGAGGGTTGTACTCTTCCACGAGTCTTTGTGGATGGTGTATCCCGCAGCCGTGGACTTGATTATTTATTTGCCTGTCAACCAGACGCCATACCATAATTCCCGGGATCCTAGTTTCCATGTAGTCTGACCAACGTGAGTCACTCGTGAGTCACATTCAAATTCATCCACTTGTTTTCTGACGTGGAGTAACCTAATTTCAGCCACTCCGCTCATGAATGCATGCAACGCCTGGTCAATCGTTTACTACATACCACTCTCAATAAAGTCATATTAGAAAGGGCTCGGGCGTCTGTACACTGCCATAGAGCTGACCAATGCTTACTCAAGCGCTTCATATGCCAATCGCCTTCCAATGGTGTTGTCGTTTGTCCCCCTCGAGTTCGTCTCATGGATCACCATGAATAAAATGCGTGCATCGTCTTCTCACCCTCTGTTATGCATATAATGGGCAAGTATCATGTACAGTTTCTAATCGCATCATGTCTGACGACGACACCTTCAGGAATTCGGATCCGTTTGACAAGGGCTCATCCATTCGGAGGCTCGTCATTTTTGGGTCCGTTTTCTCCATTCTTGTTGGCCTTGGCTTTATCGTTGGTGGTGTTTACATGTGGATCTTCACGTTATCGAATCAGAGCCACGTTCATGGTCTACTGTACTTCAAGTGCCATGTGCCCTCTGAGGTACCCAGCCTAGCACTGAATCTGATTGTTACTGTATGCACCGAGTGTGCTGGGGTAGTGCACTCCAGGACCTTGCGATTCGCACTATTTCAAGAACGCCGTGCCACGTACAACTCGAATCTGCGTCTTCTGACCGGATCCGACGAAAAGGCAATGAACTCCGCCACCATCAACGGGCTAATGGCGCTCTTGCTTATCATTTCCTACTCGTCCAGCTCTTTCCTCTTTCGAGACTTGGGTCAGTACATCTGGTCTGTCGAGGCATGTGGGGTAATGGCGATTCCGGCCATCGTCCTCGGCATGTCCATTTTTCTCCAGACATGCATCTCACTCTCTGCACTACGGAATATAGAGATCCCGACATGGAGCACTTCCCCTTTCGATACCATACCGGCGCTTCGCCTTATCCATCGTCCTCAATGTTTGAAGAAACATTACCTCTTTGCAGACACCTGCACATGTGTTGGCACGCCTCCAGATACAACAAAACCCAAACACCCCCAGCCATCTGCATGGAATACTCGCAAAGGGGTGAGAAGGGCTATTTATTTTTTGTGGGGATTAGCCATCATATGTATGTTCTGGGGCCTCTGGGTTTATCTTATTCTCCCAGACGGTCCCAGTCGTTCATGGGCGTTCTTCCCTGGCCCGGATAATTACGGGGAAGACGCCATTCCCGGTGACTACTGGTGGACTCAACAAGGAATTTCGTTTGCAACATGGCTCTCACTGTACGCACTCATGGTGATTACTCAAGGGAGCCTCACTCTTGGGCTCCACTGCGTAGAGCTTGTTGCAGGTGTAGTGCGAGATGAGACAATATGGAGAGGAGGAAAAGATGGATCGAACAGCGGAATCAATTCTTCTTGGTTTCGTGCGTTTATGCTACGCAACTGGCTGCACATTGTGCTGTTCTGTACCAAGCCAGTTTTGCGTATGTCATCTGTTGTGATGCACTATGTACCTTGACTTACCCGCATCGCCGGCAGATTGGTTATTTGGTCTCGCCGTTGAGATATACATCTACGAAGCCGTCACCACCACAAATGTGTTAGATGGATACACTGCTGGAATTGACTTCTACTCCGCCCAGGTATTTATCGTCTTTAGTCAGCGCCGTCCACCTGTCTAATTGGACACACAGATATTCTATTTAGGGTTCTGTCTCTTTATCGTTGCCATTACCTTCACATTAGCAGCTTGTCACCATCCGAAGGGAGCTCAGCTAGCTACATACGGACACATTAAGACACTCCTGGACCTGGATAACCGGCAGGAGGCACAGTCTTGTGGTCATACGGATGGTGGTTCATGTCATCAATGATTCAGGTAAGAAATTTTTCACTTCTGTAATTGTGTTTTGAGCTCTTTTGACAGGGATGAGCAGGGAACCAATTCGGGCAGGAAATGGTTTGCTAGACGCAAACGCACATGTAATGGACCTTGGTTCTGTACGCCCCGTCTGTACGCCCCGTTGTAAGCATGGCTTACCACATGTGATTCAGTATGCTACTCGTTGATTGGACATGCCGGACTGTTGCAGTTGTCTTGATTCATTTATACTTGCTGTTACTGTTGTATCTTTGCCTTACGTTGAATCTAACTCTCATACATATTCTGTCAATAGTCTTTAGTTGATCTCCCAACTTCATGACTAACGTTGGAGTGGCCTCAACCACTCTATGGGACAGATAGAAAGATGTGCTCCTCTATGGTACTACACCTGGGCTCTACACGGCCAGACGTTAGCTTGAACCTGTGGTTAAGCCGGTCGTTTTTACACTCAATATATATATAAATTGTACCCTGTATTCAACGTCAACAATGGGCTCCAACTTCTCCGCGTCACAGCACAGGCTTTGCACCTGCACGTGAACTGAGGTATATAAGCCTGGGCCAAGCCCCAGTACGACGACCACCCATTCGCGTCAAACACTCGATCTATCCCACGATAATCATTTTTTGCTACTTAAGGACGCTGGTCCTTCTTTGCCCTAGGTATTAACTCTCCAGGAATCTAGGTTCACGATATACCTGTTTGCGGGCAAGTTCAGCCACAGGGACAGGAGCCGTGCGCACGATGAGCTCTGGACCGTCACATTCCCCAATAGCATTAGAAAAGACAATCGCGTGATCGTGGTATGCCAGTGGACGAAAACGAAGGACGGCAAAAGAAAGCACAATACTGTGCGGAGTGGCAAGATCACCAAGGCTGAGGGGAGTGGGGAAATATATATCGAGATCGTCAGGGGTGACGCCACGTTACATTACTGGTATGTTCCGTGCTCTTCCTAAACAACCATCCAGGTATAACCTTCATGCTAACGGCAATTAGTATTTGTGCTAGGTTTCGAGGAACCGTCAATTCCTCGAAAGAGAGTATTCATCTTACAATGATGAACCGTAGAAATGAAGATCGTGGTTCTGCGAGAGCTACAGTCGTTTTCAGAGTCGACCCTTGAGAACCGCTGGTGTCTATCGAATCAAGCAGTAGGACAGGACGGTACGTATGTGTGTATCGCAGAATCGTCGTTCTTTGCGAGTCGCTAGGGTCGCAGTCTGATACTTCGAAAACACGAAATGATATTGCCACTACCATTGATCTACAAGAGTATGGTGTCCACGACCGAGGCGAATATTGTACTGAGCAGTTTGGGCGAAGGCGCGCAGCGCCTCCCAATCCCGAGCTGCGTGACCTGCAGGAAAGATGAGCTGCGAGGGTGGGAGGGAAAAAGAAACCATCGCGAATCACCTGAGACATGGAATGGGCACAGTCCGGACCACTGGAGGCCAAGAGCGATGAGCGATGCTGAGTGTTTGTGACGAAATATCGCGTGTTTGAAAAGGGGGCGGTGGGCGGGGAAAAAGAAAGATAACGTCGTTGAGGATGACTGAAACGACAGAATGCGTCGTCGCAGTAAGAAGACAAAAGGTTCGTACGGCTTCGGACTTCCGACGCTTGCGCAAAGACCTCCGGTCGAGCCTCGTACTTATGTGGCAACTGGCAAGAGTCAGAACGGCCTTGTCAATAATGTTGGCTGCACTCCCATCGGCCTTGACATCTAAGTTTTCATTGGTACATAGTTTCCTAACTACAGCTAGTAATACCATCGTTGGCATCCAACTAGATTCAAGGACGGGATCAGGACAGTAACCCACCGATTCGGAATCAGATCTTGAGGAGGTGGCATCAAATTTCAATAGTCCGATCATGAGTCAGTACGCTAGTACAGTGCACGCGACCACTCAGGTATCTTAAAATCTCATGATCATGATGGCATGCGCGAAATCCACGAGGAGTCACTCGGATGAGTAGTTATACTAAGGAAGGTGTTTTTAGATGCGTCGGATAACTATTATTACTAATTTGATGATCACTTACATAAATCGCGCGGGTCGATTTGTGAATCCGAATCCGTGACGGACTCACACCAGTTTTTGCCAGACGAAGGTTTAACAATTCGTCACCAGGACTCGGAGGTGCCCCAGGACCTTTGCTGAAGACGCTCAGCTATCACCTTGATGACCTCGATGCATAATAATGCTTGATCAGTGGCACGATCACTCACCGCTAGTCATCGTGTGGCGCTGTAGCAGTTGCCCAATTTTCGCCTATACATATGGCTATGGCACCCTCAGTTCAGCGACCGAGATTCAATCCTTCGAATTCATCATGTGTCAGTGATGTCCGCCCACTTCATCATGACATACCTTCGCTGCGCAATTCAGATTCCAGTACTTTGCACTTCAGATTCCAGTCGTTGGTTAGCTGTCCTGCAGATGTCCCGCTTGAATTGGTGCGTTCGCAGTCAACAGGCTATGTGCTTCCCGTTTTGTTGACGTGATTTACTCTAACAGTTCGAGGCAGCTGTTTCGCAATTGATTCATCACCCGGAGTATAATTCGACATTGATCTTACGCTCAGAAACTATCTCAGACTCCGATACCACCATCCCAACATCTGCTCCATGTCTGGAAGGATACTGCCCTGTACGCAATGTACATCGCAAGTTGCTACCGCGCAGGCCAGGTCGAGACTTGGGACTAGAGCAACACTGTACACTTTACGCCTTTGAAACCGGTGAATTTGCTGGCCTTCCGTCCATGTTAGTCCTTACACCACTTGTACCCGAAGGAGAGAGCTTGCCCTACTACCATCCTACTGTGTCGCATCTCGCTTTCCGGTTCATCCCTTCAAAGATCACCACAACCTCAGATTCAGCCTCTGCACAACCAGCACTGCGCATTGAAGCTATTCCACTCCCAGGCACGCCTACCGACCCCAACAGTCGCCTCTACCGTACGGCACTTGCACTCCTAGACACACTCCACCGTTACCTTTGGGGTGCACTTACTCATTATCAGAAGCGCGTACAACATGATGTCCTCGTACCCCGAGAAATATATCAAGACGTATACCTCAAAATGCGCGAGCGCCATAAAGGGATAGTAAATACATGGAGGGAGACCACCGATCCCCTGAAGCATGTGTTCGAGGTGTGGATGTCATCGGTATAAAGTTAGTATCAGCTAATTTGCCTAGGACATCGGCATCGCAACATTTCTTATGCTTTTCTGGAAGGATACGTTCACCGCTTCAGCTGATCTAGCCGACGTGAAGGAGCTGGGTGATTCACGATGGACATCCTGGCCTCGTCCATCTGGTGGCTTCCTTGATCTTGGGTAAGTTTGCCTGCAACATTATCTATTTTTTAGGCTTTTATCATTCATTTATGCAGCTGTGGCAATGGCCTGTTGACACATATTCTCTCGGCTGAGGGCTATTCAGGATATGGTATCGATCTCCGCGCACGGACTTCCTGGGCACATTACCCCGATTCGTCACAGGCAGCACTGAAGGTGCACGCCCTTGACCCCACACAGCTTATTTCCCCAGACAGTAGCAACAATGTAAGACAAATCCTTTGGGAGCCCGGGGTATTCCTCATTGGGAACCACGCGGATGAATTAACACCGTGGCTCCCTGTACTGGCAACACTCACGGGTGCGAGTGGGTACCTCTCCATACCCTGCTGTGCATGGATGTTCGATGAGAGGTTTACTCGCTCGTCTGCGACGTCAGGGCTCGATTTCTTTGACAACGAATTCCTTGACGCTGCCACTGGTGTGGTGTCAAGCGAGGCCGAGGACGAAGCTGCCTTCATTTCCAGCCTCGGCATGGGCGCTGAGGGTACGCACAAGTCTCAATACTCGGCCTATCGCATATGGCTTGCGCGTTTGAGCCGTTGGTTGGGGCTGGAAGATTGAGTGCGACACGCTCCGAATACCTAGCACGCGGAACTGGGCGATTGTAGGTAGGGTGTTGCATTTCCTCAAATTTTCAATATAGCACAGCTGACATTTGAATTTGGTGCGTAGGTCGCGAAAGGCTTCCAGGAGACCAGAGCATTTTTGTAGATCGAGCGAGAAGGATTGTGGAGGACGTTGTGCGTAGAGGGGCATTTAAGACACGGACTCCAGAGGGCAAAGGACCGGACGGGGCGTCATGACAGTAGCTACCATTCTGGATGACATTTTCTCGGGACCAAAATAATAATGAACTGGTATAAGTTATATGAATAGCGATCTTAAATGTGTTCCGTACTACATGATATCCTAAGGTCAATGGGAATGGATAACATATTAGCAAAGCAAGAACAAAACACCGATGTTCCAAAGTTATTGATACGAAAACTGCAAACAGCGGTTCTTCGCGTTCTTCGCTCATCTTCCTACATTCTTCCAGCAGCTCCCTCAGTTCTGACAAACCCACTCCACCTGGTCTGACCGGCTCCTCATCGTCCGTATAAGAGTTCTCGTTGTCTTCCAAAAGCTCATCTTCGTCATCTTCGTCCTCTTCGACCTCTTCATACTCTTGAGGTAATGTACCCAATAGTGCGCCAGTGCAGTCCTCCAGACGGATACTCATGCCTTCGCACATCCCTGCCCACCTCTCCCAGCGCTCCATCCCACTCCCTTGCGGCCCGTCCGCACGCTCCTAGGTCCGTGAGCACCGTCGGGCTCAACACGCGCACTCGTTCGAGTTTAGGGAAACTCGCTTTAGTGAGCGCTGCAAAATTCCTGTCATTCGTACGCTGCACAAGGAGAGAGCGAAGAGGGATCGGGGGTGGCATAAGCGCTAGCAAGGCCCACTCCGAACGCAAAAAGCAACCCGTGGAGCCCGATAGTGCGCGATGTGCTCGTGTGGGCGATTAGTAAAAACGATGGGTCCAGTCTCCTGTATCGGCGTTCTGGGAGATGGGCGCGATCTTCCAGTCGAGATTGAAAGAGAAAGCGGTGAGGAGAGGACATAGGTCGAGTATTGTGCGGATATCAAGTGCTGGATGCAGTTGAGGTCAAGGAAGAGCAGGCTGGTACCATGGTTGCCGAGGAAGGATAACACATCGGGAACATCTTCATTTTTGCTGCCAAAGTCAAAGGAGAAAGCTGCGTAGAAGTGGGAGGCTCCAGCCGCTGGCTTGTTCGATGAATTCAGCAGAGTACCCGCGCAGGATGAGCTGCTGAAGGTTCGGGAGGTAGAGCTTGACATCTTGTGCGCTTCCCAATGTGAGCGTGTCAGAATCCTTGAGTGGTGCATCGAACTCAACGGCAAGGGAAACTAGGAGTGGGAGGGCGTCTAATGCCCATATAACCTTGGGAAGGAGTTCGGCGGGGACGTGCCAGTGAGCAGTGCGCAAGTTCTTGCAATGCGTACCCAGCGTGTCCGCAATGGAACCAAATGCCCTTGATAGAGGCCAATCGACAATGAAAATTTCTAGGTTGGGAGTCTGGGCGAGCACAGATGTGAGGGTGGCTTCGAAATCATCGAGGGAGGGACCACGCTCGTAGAGAAAGTGAGTTATATGTAAACGGCGTGTCCACCACCCCAGTGAAGGATTGGAAGTGAGGAGGGCAGTAAGAGAGCGGAGCTTCGAGGGGTCGTTGAAAAACAAATAGCGGACGAGGAACTCGAGGCCGAGACGACGCCATGATTGGCACGTTAATATGATCGACTAACAGAGAGTTACAATGAGACATGACTGTCTATTTTTTTTGGAACGTGGCACACCTTCTTAGTAGCATAGCTCCTGCGCTGGACCATGTTGATCGAGTCGCGAGGTGTCCTTAGTTGCCAATCCGTAACCAGAGAACGAGCCCAAGAAGACTGGGTCATGGATGTTGGAAGGCCAGGATAGAAGATCGTATCCTCATCCGCGGCCAGACCAAAAATATGTGACCATAGTTCCGGAGGCAATGAATGAGCCATCGTCCTCAATCTGTATACAGTGGTGGAAGGAAGATGGTCGTTCCTTCTATGTTATGAGTTGAGCTACTAGCCTGCGTAAATTGTATAGCCCACCAACTGCTGGTGGATTACGATACCTGGCCCGTGCTTTAGAAAATGACACCACCACGCACTTCGCGTCTCGATCAGATGATCTGAACTCCTGCGCGATGCTTATATAAGCACAAACTGTAGTCCAGAATGTGGGAAAATCTAACCTTAACCTACGCTTCTATCTTTAGACTATCATCATTTGGCATACATTGTAGTCTCAATTCCAGACCCTTCATGCATAAAACCTGGTACATTTTTGGTACTTCGAATGATAATCCAGCAGCCCAATATATCATTTTATTTTTTTCTCATTTGAGCTTGTTCCCCACGTACGGTTGCCAATATTTACTTGCAATATACACTCGTTCGCTAAAAAAAAAATGGAATTGAGTGGGGATCACGACAAGGTTTGGCAAAATGGCTGTAGCCATTTTGACGTGCCTGCCTCGATCGTGATGCACCTCGTGACGTGGCTAGGAAGGGCTAGGACGATGCAAATGCCATGACAAGCCAGATATTGAAGTTGATAATTTGTATCACAGGTTGTGACCGCCTTGTTGAGCTCCCACTAGACAGTTAAACGAGACATCAGGAAATCTGCAAGTTCCCTGATTTACCTGTAGTTCCTGACAGCGGCAGACTTACCAAAAAGAACAGACTGTGATAATTGAGAGAAATAAAATGAGTTCTAATTAAGGTTATTCTGACACACAGCAGCATGCGAGGAGATTAGAATATGCCGAGGCAGGGCATTGAATGACACAGTTCGAAGGCTCGAAGTCCAATGCCGACAGTCAGAGTCATGGATGATGCATTCCCGTGGACATTCCCCACCGAAAACACATACCCGGTAGTACCGCAGGAGTACCGGATGTGTTCGAGCAAGTGCCCATGCACGTGACTACTATAGTAGTTGGTAATAAACAGGGTGCTGAGGGTGGTTCAACCCTGGTGGTAACATTCTTGCTTCGCGATTTCCGTCTATGATATGCTGCGAGAGCGAGGCCGAGAAGTTTGTCGTCGTCATCGCTCCCCACTGCAGCCAGTTATGCAATGGCAAGGACATCAAGGCGTTTAACTGTAGATTGATGGTAATTCAGTGGCCGGCATACGAGACGTCGTAAACGCCCCATGACGTATGATGCATTGATGATTCTACTGGTGACCGGTGACGAGTGGCATCCCTGCGCTCACTGTTGAAACTCCGTAATGACGAGCATCGAATAACATACCTAGCAGTCCAATATATCATTTTATTTTCTCTCGCTTGCTCATTCCCCATGATATATCACAATATATAATACACTCGATCGCTAAAAAAATAATAATAATATGGAATTGAGTGAGGCTCATATAAAAGCAAGTCATCTTCCTGCCGTCCACAACCGTCCACCCACCTCAAAGAAATCATTCGAGCCCTCAGCAGATCATACCACCTAAAACAAACAATGCGTCTCTTCTTCCTCACATATATTGTTGCGTTGACAGCATCTATAATGTCTGTCACAGCGAGGCGACCAACCTGTAGCGGAATGGACGAGAGTTGCGAAACGAGTAGTGACTGCTGCGATATAACAGCCATCTGCGGTGCTAATCTATGCGTCAATCCCGACAAAGGACAAGTCCCACCCTGAGAACAAGCCGATCTGCACATAGCGACACACTAGTGAGTGTCTCCGCATTCGTATTGGTGCTGTTGTTGATTGAACAATACGTAGGACACTGCTGATTGAGAAATAAATGGAGGCGGTATTGGGTGGAAGGAGGTCGTATGAGGTATCTGCGTACTGTTTGGTCTGGGGTAAACAGAGCACCATGGTCAGCCATAAATCAAATGCGTGTTAGCTACAAAGAGTCTGATTACTAGATCACGTCTTGATCAAATGATCCGCGATGCTTATATAAGCACAAACTGAGTTCCCAACAATTTGGACAAATCAATTTGACCGTGACGCGTGACGTAGGACACCAACTCGACCTCACGTCGTTCAAACGTTCATATGCATGTTCTAGTGTACAGATCTAAAGTTTGCATTCCCCGATGAGCTGATGCTTGCGATTCTTAACAATCCAACTCGAAGTCGGATTCTTCAGCTGCAGGAAAGAGCAGAAAGTCAACCATGCTATCAAAGCGTATTCTCGTTCGAAGCTTTATCGGCAATCGTGTCCAGAACACCCTCTAACACGTACCTTACACGTTTAGCAGCGGGCGAGTCCGATTTTTTCTCTCTCATAACAAGCTATTTACGATTTGGCAGGAACCGAATGCCGAGATTGACTCAGGAATCCAAGTAAAGCCGCCGCCCCAGTTCATTCAAGGCTAGTCCTTCTACAAGCTTTGAAAGACAGTAATATGCAAGACCGCTGATCTTTTCCTCTTAGTGACTGACATTGCAATGGGTCGGTAATCTACATTCTCTTTATCCCGAGGTGTTCGGAACTGCAGACACTACGAAGCTTGGATATTTCGACGGTGTGCAAAAAGGAACCCGAAATCGGTGTGCACGCACCATTAAAAGGTTCTCGTTTCACGGTGTTCAAACTTTCTGCGAGGCCTATACTATACTTGGTCGTATACGTTGTACTACTGTGCATGCCTTGCAGGTCCCAAAATATTCTTGAAAGGCCCCGGATGGTAGTATGTATATCTAGCACGATATTTCCAAGTTTGCGACTCACTGGTATCGACTCCTTGAATATGACCATAGCCTCAAGTGATCCCAATTCATGGCCGCAAATCAAGTTGTTTCGCTTCTATAGCTATTTTGTAGGTTCGTGGAGACCAAGTCGAATGGTGTTGGCGATGTCTCACTTTACCTTTGACTGCGATTTTGCAGTTGCATCCTCCACTGCTATAATATACGACTGGGGTAAGCAAGATAGTATTTATCGAATACATTGTTGATGTCTCTATGACGTTCACCAGCACTGACGTTCGGACAAGAGGTAGGCCGATGTTGACGCCCTGACAGTCATCTCACTGAGAACGGTTTTACAGATCGAACTGGTATGGGTGAGTAAAGTCTCTATCAGAGGGACAATTGGATAATAAAGTTAATTCGGGGCAGAGGAAACACTGGTCCCTGATGACCATCTTATATCTAAGTGTAAGTTATCTTATACGGATTAGTTGGCAAGTTGTGCTGACTTCAAAAAATATAGCTGCGTTGCGCTGGAATAATATTCTCTGTGTATGTGTGTGAGGCTGACAAGTTGGCCTGGTACTAATCAACCGTCTCTCACGATCAGCGTCACCGTGCTGTGTATGTCTCATAAGTAGACCAGGGCATTTCTTCTGACTGGTAGTATGCAGGGACTCTCCCGTCAGTCACGCTGACAGATAAAGTGAGTATTCTGTAGCAATCACTGCCATTCCCCTCCAACTAAATATACTTCTACACAGAGGTGAGTGAAAGTTTCGACCAACTTGTTACTTTAACCAATATAACAACTGCACAGCTGTAGGTTTTTTTGAAGCATCGAGGCTCGTTACTAAATTATTCACTGTTTTTCAGGCACTATCCTTTACTACTTTCAAAGCGGAACATCTGTGGTCGTAAATGCCATGCTGGGCGGTGAGCTACTCAACTGCATTAATTATTAGCGATATTGACTTGAATGAAATATCATTCTAGTGATCATGATCACCCGGTCATATGCCATGTATCAGCGGTCCAGAAAGATGCTCATCTTTCTCGTCGTATTCTTCTTTGCTGTCAACATCACATGCGCAGTGATTGTCGCGAGCAGCCGTGTTTCAGGGGGTAAGTTTTATGAATGACTTAAGCACAGCAGTCTCATTAAACACCAGTGGAGACCGTTCTGTCTGGGACCTATCAGTGCGGTTTTACTGGAGGCAATCAACGTCTGATAACCGACACATGGATTTTAATGACTGCATGGGAGGTTACCATATTGTGTGTTGCAGTCTGGATTGTTGCAAAATACCTCCGTGAACTGCAACAGCCATCGACAAGATTGACTCTCGGGAACTATTTCAGGGTATTAATTGAAACACATGTATTCTACTTTGCAGCGTAAGCTCATGATCAGAATGTCATTGTCTTGTTCCACTGAAGTTTTTCGCGTACCAGATATGCTACTGTTACTTGCCTGAACCTCGGTAGTCTCTCTCCAAACATCAGGGTATGCTATCCGTGGCTGACATCTACATTTAACCAGTCCTCATCATTTCTACAGGATTCGTCTTCCTTCGGAGTTGACATCTATAATGGCATTCTTCAAATTGCCCAGGTCGTGCAGATGTTTATACTGGGACCACGCCTCATCCTTAGTATTCGGGAACATTACGCCAATGCCACGACGAACTCAGACGAAAGAACTGATTTGAGCACAATTGTTTTCCAGGAACTCGCACACAAGTCGACTGGCTCATCTTCGTAACAGAGGAAACACTGCAGGTTATCTACACTTGTCAGGCGCTCTGCAGGGAACATGATTTGTTGGAGTTTCGCGTTATGTTATTCATTTAGTTTTTTGAAATAGAGAACCATCACAGTCTCAGGGGCCAACCAATATTACGTTACATCAGAATGATGTGACATATCTTGCTGCTCGCAACGTGATGATACGGTATGTGGGTTGCGAATTTATCGACATTTTCGGCGGGGCAGTGTCCGTTGGAGCGGTGTATCTGCGACTGTGTGCCTGCGTGTCGCGAAAGTGGTGAAGAGCACTACGCTTAGTACGCTACGACAGGCCCGAAGGACAGGGTGACCGACTAAGCTACGGTGTTACACGGGTGCTACTCTGCCCTAGAGGTCCCCCACTCCACCATCAATGAGACAAGCCATTGAAATTTGACAGATGGAATGAGAGCGTATCTAAGCGACACCACGGTGCAGAATTCACGCGGCTCTCAAAGTCATTCGGTGTTTGAAGCCGATCGAGGCCTATCTCTTATCTATGAGTGTTTTGAAATTGTATTAAATTACACTCCCGTTCAACTACTGTTATCTAGAATACCTCGGTACAATTTTCCAGTCTACTCGTAAAATTACAGCCTTGGGACCACAATTCATTCTTTTCGGTGCTTTTGGTAGTAGTGAATAAGGCCAGTAGTCTGCAAGCCGCTTTTGTCTCAGCTGAAAAGCGAAGGATAGTGAAAAGATAAACGCACCGAACTGTCGTGGCCAGCCACATCGGACGGCTGGTTCAGCTGCGACAAAATATTCTTCGCAAGAACTTTTCCAAGTTCGACACCCATTTGATCTACAAACACCGTCAGCGAACGAGAACCCGAGAATCTCGAGTAATCCTACCGAAAGAATTGATTCCCCAGATGACACCCTGGGTGAAGATCTTGTGCTCATACAACGCGATGAGCGCACCGAGGGTTCTTGGGGTCATCAACGGGAACATAATGCTGCTGCTAGGCCGGTTTCCCTCAAACACCTTACTCTTCACGAGCGCCTCGCTTGCACCACTGCCAAGTTCCTTGCGCACCTCCTCCTCTGTCTTACCAAAGGCAAGCGCTTCGGGTTGGGCGAAATAGTTGGAGAGCAAGATACGGTGATGCTTGGAATTGGCGATGGGGTTGTGACTTGTGGCAGGAGCGATGAAATCTGCGGGGATGAGTTTCGTGCCCTGGTGCACTAGCTGATAGAACGAATGTTGTCCGTTGGTGCCTGCAGCACCCCAGATGATAGGCTGCGTGCGATATCATGTCAGTTTCTGCCGCGCAAATAGGACTATTGCACCTACCCCTGTCTGGTAGTTGACACGTTGACCACCCTTGGTAACGAACTTTCCGTTAGACTCCATGTCTCCTTGCTGGAAGTAATCAGCAAATTTGTGGAGGTACTGGTCGTATGGTAGGAGTGCATGAGTCTGTGCACCATAGAAATCGTTGTACCAGATGCCGATAACAGCCATGAGCACGGGAAGGTTCTTCTCGAGAGGGGTCTCCTTGAAATGCTTGTCCATGCCGTGAGCACCCTTCAGGAGCTGCTCGAAGTTATCATAGCCAATATAGATGGCAATGGACAAGCCTATGGCACTCCACAAGCTGTAGCGCCCACCAACCCAGTCCCAGAAGGCGAACATGTTTGCTTTGTCAATGCCAAACGCAGTGACAGCCTTTGTGTTCGTGCTGAGGGCGACGAAGTGCTTTGCGACGTGGGCTTTGTCCTTGGCTGCCGCCAAGAACCAGTCACGAGCGGATTCGGCATTGGTGATAGTCTCTTGGGTGGTAAACGTTTTGGAAGCGATGATGAACAGGGTGCGCTCGGGATCACAGAGTCTGAGAGTCTCAGCGATGTGGGTTCCGTCAATGTTAGAGACGAAGAGGGCGGTCAGGTCGCGTTTTGCGTAAGGCTTGAGTGCCTCAGTGACCATAACTGGTCCGAGATCAGAACCACCGATACCGATGTTGACGATGGTGTTAATCGTCTTGCCAGTGTAGCCCTTCCATGAACCACTCCGGATTGCTTCGGAGAAGTCCTTCATGTGCGCGAGCACGGCAGCGACCTCATCAACACCAGCCTCCTGGATCTTGAAATCATCGAAGTTGCGGAGAGCAACGTGAAGGACGGCGCGATCTTCTGATGTATTAATGTGCTCTCCAGCAAACATTTTATCGCGGTAGGTCTCAAGCTCTGCCTCGCGAGCAAGAGATAGGAGCGTATCTAAGATGGGTTGGGTAATGAGGTGTTTAGAGTAATCGAGCAAGAACGTTGTGTTCTTGTCGGTTGTGTCGACATACTCCTCGGAGAATTTCGAGAAACGGTTGGGGTCCTGAGCGAAAAGATCCTTCAGGATGAGCCTGGCATGTTGGGCATCATACGTCTGCTGGAGCTTCTTCCAGGCACTGTACTCTAATTGCAAGATCACGGGTGAGGGGGGACGCAGGATAAGATCGAAGTGCTGAAGGACGTACCTGAAGCTGGTCTTCCGCTCATGATGATGGTGGATTAGCCTAGAGGAAAGTATATCACAGATAGTTTATTTGATCTTTCACATATGACGCCACCTTATATACATCAGTTGTTTCCAATACCCATCGCATCGCAATCGTGGGAACTTCTCGGACGGAACCTTCTCATTGGCAGATCGTGCGGAATTATAAACATGCTTACAGACCACTCACAGACTATTGGAAATGAGAGAAAATCCAGCCCTTTTCGCGCTTTTCTCGCTCACCAGTGCAAGCTAGTGAGACGCTGTGACTCTCGTTGCTAGGATATGATTCCAGCAAGGGTCCCTGGCTTACACGCTCGTACATGAGCCACCTCGTGGTAGCCACGGCACTGAGAATCCTGCAGTCGGGCCTGGTTTCGTCGCATTTGAGACATTTCGGGAGACTGACTACTGATCTAAAGATACCAACCATGTCGGGGCCGCACGGCGATGCATGAAGATAGGGAGCAATGCACAATGGCCATTGGTCGACGAGTCAGAATCAGCTATGGGAAAATCAATCGTTTGTTGTTGAGTGCTTCCAGCAGATGCCTCTCCATGATTGGTCAGTCATCGGTATCTGAGTAAGTGTGAGGAAATTGACGTGCTTTAGTAGCCTACATGATCTATAATCTGACCAGTGGCACACCACTTACGAATCGGACAGCCGGGGGCTCAGCGGCGCTCATGCCTGTAATCCCGCGATTTGCGTTGCTACCACAAAGTATTCCGAGTTCGGGAATGTCAACTGAAACCCACCGACTAACTGGCCGTTCTCTGTTACACCGTGACTATGATTATAAAAACTTGCTTCGGCCTGCAAGTCGATGCCAACCAGACTCGGAATTTGGGATTGGTTCTTCATCCTGTCCCATTCGATTCACGCTTTCTAGCATTGGTCGGTGTTGGTGCGAGGTAAGCTCAAGAATGTACGAATTTCCGAAGCAGCAGCCTGCAAAGGAGTCCGTGTTCTGTTGCTTCGTGGGTCTTCCTAATGCGATCCTCACGAACGGAGAGGACCGGAGAGACAACCCTCTATTGTGAGAGGAGCCTTCAGACTTGCTCTTCCCATCGATCTTTTTACCTATTACCCGCAATTTATTTCAGGTTATCAAGTCATCGGGCGATCTTTTACCGCCCCATTGGATCGTCGTTTATTTCGCATAGCTTCAATTCCACTCATACAGAGTCACAATTTGTCGCTGATTATCATCGGATAATGCATGTCATCGGAGAACCCCTGTACCTCGTTGCGCCTTTCCTCGAGCAGATCTTCCCGAAGCAGAAATTGATCAGACAGATGGATCGTCTATGTGAAGGGTTCGACAAGCTCCTGCAAATTGCTTGGAATTAGGCGAAGATGTCAGGGCCTGGTGCTGAAACACGCAGGGGGCCAGAACTATCCAGAAATAACTTCCCGATAACATGACAACGCTATTTTTAGCCTGGCATGTATGCGACTAGCCGTACATCTGTGCTACTAACAGCGCGTTTCGAGACACGACACGACGTCAGGTCTTCTACTTGGCTACTGCTCCATATGCTCAGGACGCTGCAAGACAGGAAGTGTTGTGGGCCCTCGGGGCCGACGTTGAACCCTGCCCCTTCTGTTTCTCACAGCATACATGCGAGAGGTCATCCACATTTACCCTCCTGGGGCTTATACCACCCCGTGCATATACCCGTTGGCGCTACCCTTGGGGAATATCGCATTCTTACCATACACTATTCGTCTGCAGAATCCGTGATATACACCATAGTAAAGCGATCTGGGGCGACCCAGACGTGTTCCGATCGGCGCGCTTGTCTCATTAAAGCCTAGTCATAGAAAATCGTCACCCAGTATGGTATCGCAAAATGTTAAGTATAGTATGCAGGGGAAACGTGTACACGGAGTATCTTTAAGGTCGCGCATGTTGATGAAGGCTTTGTCAGTTACTATACCTATCTATAGGAGTCGCCTATAAGTCCTCGAACAGGGATAACGAACGAATAATTTGTATTAACTTGTGGCGAGTGTAAGGTTGAACGATGACACAATTGTGTGTAAAGAATACAAGATGTCACTGTTTAGCGAGAGTGTTACCCCCATGCCGCCGTCGTGCTAAACAGTATGCACTCGTATCAACGCGCTGTGCATGCAACTTGAGGAGAAACTAACCTGTAGTTGACTATCAGATGCCCTTCTGTAGCAAATGACTTCAACAACCGCATCAGGAGATGTTCTGCGACAAGAGCTAGACGGATTACCTTGTATAAATTCGATACTGTGTCGTCAGGAGCGGGAGAAAATGCGAGATTGATATATGTGAACTGGGACGAGTCAGCTCAACGTCAAAGACAAGCCATCAATCCTAACCAGTGGATCTCCGGCTTTCCAGCTCAACTCCTTCCTCAAAAACTGTATGACTGCCTGGAAACGGTTGGAGGCAGTAATCTTATAGAAGTTCTGCCTCATGATCGGTGCGTTACCGACTGCCTTGAAGCGAACCACCACTGTGTATTGGGTTTATCGATATAGACGCCTTCATTCAACACCAATGCTACAGCGCTGACCTTTGGATGGATCCTTCTTCTTGTAAGTGTCCAGTGCTTGGAGAGCTTCGGTTGCACTCTCGGACACGTCACCTGGTGTCCATGGAAGGGCAGCTTGCCTACCAGAGTCGTCTGGGCTTCCCGAAGCCATCGCGATGTACGCGCAAAGAGAGCTGAACGTTACGGATGTTCAGATGATAAAGTTCCAACTTGCTTTAGTATTGAACGCTTTCCAAGGTGTCCGCAAAAGGCAATTCTGCAGCAACCGTGTCTTGAACGGCAGTCTGAACAAACACTGAACGTCAAAACGATGCCCGTTGGTATTGGTTATTTACTAGTTACTACCGAGACCACCTTCGACAATCTGTACTCTACTTATCTCCAGTGGCATTCTCTACAGCTATCTACAACTTTGTTTGACGAAATGAGTTCAGCCTCAGCGAATTCCTCCTGTTGACGGGTGTGTTCAGTAGGATCCCAAACAGATACGATGCAGACTAGAAAGATGAGAGGAAGAGCCTCTCTCATAGGGTAGGCGTTGGCTCCAATAACGCCCAGGCAGCGTTGAAATGGAGAAAAGGACAAATAGCGGCAAGGACAGCAGCTGAGACAAACAAATCAGTACCTCGCGGAAATGATAAATCAACCTGAGATTGAAAATAACAGGTCATGCTCGCAGACCACGGGAGCTATTCTGCTGTTTAAATTATAATGATAGGCTTGATTGAAATGGACACCCCACAGTGCTGGATAACGATGAGAGAAGTGCTGTTCGCCGTCGCTTTCCTTCGCCGTCGCGGTGGGTTCCTGGGTGGAGAACTTGAGAGAACTCCTCATTCGAATTGTTTACACTGCAGTCATTCCGACATTGAACTTGGAGACTCGACCGTACTTCAGCTAACAGATTAACTCACAGATTCTCGCCACGAACTTCAACGGACACCATAGGTCTTATGCCATCATTGCGGTTGCCGTAACTGGATTTTAAACAAACGAACCTAGTATCGAGATCATCGATCCACAAGTTAACCACCTCTCTTCCGTCTAGACTGCATGCATCAATGTTCCTCATGGTCTTCGCATCGAAGTCGAATTTCTGTTATGAAAGGTACTAGGTACACGTGTTAGAAATTAGGAGGGTCGAGTTCATCCCACTTTGAGCGAATTCTGTGAAGATTCGCTGGCCAGAGCGTTCTGCAGTTGCTACGGTGGCTGGCTCGGTGGTCGTGTAACCAAATTTGTTGTGGACAAGAACATTTGTTTGTACGTGTTTATATGCATTGTTTCGTGGCGTTGTTTTCGTGAAAGTGAACCCGCATGTGGTCGGTTTGAAACGTCGTAGTTAATCACTTCTTTCTTTCTAACCACCACCATCTTATCTCTTGCATAACTCATATTTTCCATCTTGATTGATTTTGATCTTGAACCATGTCAAGCTATCAGATACTTGACTCATCGCCCATCCGCATCCCTTCTCTTCACTGATACAGAAGTTCATTCACGACCCTTAAAACGCTCTGCATCTCTGGCATCGCTTCCTACGCCTCCTAGAACACATCACAAACGATCTCGTTCAAAAGCAGTTTCAGCGACCTCTGGACACGCGTCAGAGGACAGTGGCAGCGCGTCAGAACTCGAGGAGGACTTTGGTGGAAGCTACATTGCTCACATCGCTGAAAGGCACAGCAAAAGTGAAGATGAAACTAGCGGGGAAAAGGAGGCCCATGCGCTCATGGGGAAGAAAACGGCGCCGAACCACAGATGTCCTTCCCGCGCATGACGAAGAAGAAGACGATGAGAACTCGTTTTGGACTGGTCGTAGTGGTGGCGCTGCAGTCTCATAGGCGTAAAAAATCATCTGCAGTGGAGGATACGGAAGAGGACAAGTCACCTTCGCCTGCACTGTTGAAGTATCGCGTCCGTGAGCCCTGTTTCGCCACCTCCCTCCCGCAGAGCACCCCAAGTCCAACCTCGTGCATCATCAGTGCAGCGCTCGCGTTCACCCCCGCCTGCACTTTTCTACCAAAGCCACCCGTGACACCTCCCCGCAAGCTCTTCCTTCGCGCGCTACCATCCCCCTCGAATTCTAAGGCTAAGAAAATATGGCCTACTCGAGACTCCCCCGATAACCCATTCCTCGCTGGCGAGGGCGAAGCAAGCGTATCTAAGGCAAGCGGCTGGGACAGCAGCGATGATGAATTGCCCATCGGAGAAGCACCCGAGCGTGAAAGCACGCCAACTCCAGCACCAGTGTTTGAGGAGAAGCCAACAATAACCTATGTCTTGTGCGTCTTTCTAGTTCTTAACATTATCTGCCTGCTGACCGCTTCATTAGCCGGGGCCAAAAAGCGACCTTCCATAACCCCCAATATCATCTTGCCCCTGAAGTTCTTGAGGCGTCTAAATTGCCGATCGATCATCCGGACTTTGAAGTGGCTGAGGCATGTGCCCCCCGCCGGCTCTTCTCCGACAAGCTTAAGCGCAAGCCTCGTGACCGCAGCCAAGACGTTTCCTCCGAACGGTTCCCTTGGTGTCAAACGTGCAAAAATTGCATATTCAGATGCCAGCGCATCTGAGGGCGAGAGAAGTACTGGAAGCACCGGTTCCCGCAAGAATGTATTCCTTCGCAGATGGCACAGAGCGGGAACCTGTATTTTCCAAGCCTCAAGGCCCTGATAAAGGTGCTGAGCGTCATGAGCTCCTGCAGCACGCTCGGGAGGAGCGCGAACGCAGGGAGACGGACAGCAAACAGCGCCTGGCTTCGAAGGATGGCCTGCGCGCTGGGGCAGTTTGTTGTGGAGAGGGACAATCCTGTTCGGCGGGCAATGGGCCCTGTGCGTCATTCGTAAGCCTGCCGGCGACATCGACAATCTTCACGTCATTCTTGATTTATTTTCTTGTATGTGCGATACCTCTTTTCCTACTGTTATGTTTCCTGCGATGTCCCCTGCTCTCACACCCCTGCGACACCTCATCTAATCTCAACACCATTGATACATGATTTTGTTATAGTACGTATCACTCACCCATCAGATCCATTGATCCGTTCGTTTAAATTGACCGCATCCACCAATCAGTCGCTGCATTGACATGCCAAACCTACATCACTCTACTAGGCACAAGTTAGTTGTTCGGAGCTCTCGCGTCGAGTACATTTGCCTACATACATCTCGAATCCAATGTTTATGCCTAGTTCAAATAAATCATGGTTATCGAGTACACTCAGTTGGCTGATCTCATCTGAATCATTGTAGGAACGATTGCAGTACTGGATATTTAATTGAATATGGGTCTTCTTCGACCCGGCATGAAGACATCAACCGCGATGTAAAATTCCATTATCCAAGAGAGGGTGCAACAGCCAAAATTGACATTCTGTTATACTGCTTGGATGTCACTGGTCAGTACGTCGACGATCGACGGGCCAGATACTAGTAAAGATATGATATGAGCAACGACGACAACAAGCCTTGGCACAGTTGGCTGACTGATTACAGTTCGTTCACGATTATATGCCTTGCAACTGCGATGTGCCCTAACCTTGAAAGCGGAGGGATTGTTCGTGTTACCAGTAATGCCGATGAGAACTAGCCCTGCCTATTGAACAGAGTCTGAGACAGGAAAGCCGATTCTGATATGCTCTAATGTATACTGCAATTGAGTCTAATCATGATGAGGACGTTGATGATGAGGAAATGAGAGTCATCGTTACACCAGTATCACGCTGCCTGGCGCTCGTACTGGGCTCGCATTCCCGTCTATTTCTGCTTGCCACTAGCTCTAAACCTGCAAGAATAGATGAGTGAATAGCGCAATGAATTCTGGAAAAGAACCTTACCCGCTCCTCCGCTTTCCTTCAGCTCCTCCCCCTCTGGCTTTCCCCTCTTCCGACTTCCTCTGCTCTTCCTTACCGCTTTGGTCAATCTCTGCTTGACATCGAGCCCGTTCCTCGGTCCGTCCCTCGCCTGACCTTCCATCCTCAACTAGTAAAAATAAATGAGTGAATGGCGCTAACTGATTCTGGAAGGAAACCTCACCTGCCGTACTTCATCCTTCCTTTGCCTTTCCTCCTCTCTTTCTGCCGCATTCTCGATGCGCTGCCCACTGGGTGTGATAATGCTCACATACCACCTCCACACTGTCTGCCTTCTCTACCATGGACCCCGAAGATAACGAGAGCGCCCCCCGCTCAGCGTCGTCTCGTGGCAATCAGGGAAGAGCCTTTTGAGGGCCTCCCAGACAGTGTGCGCATACCAATAGCACTGGTATTGGTACAGATTATATGTCGGGGAGTGGTTGCTGAGAGCGCACAAGAGGCACGGATACTTGGATTGCTGATGGGCGAGCGGAGTCGGCGAAGTCGAGGTTAGAAAGGCGCTTGAAACCGCTCATATGTTCCGGATAGGTAGGCATCGATGGCAGAACCATTGTTCGGGGTGGTGAAGATGGAATCGCGAGCGGGGGTTGGAGAAACTGATGGCGAGACTATGTATGATGACTGTATAACTTGTCCTTGACGAGCCATTGTTGTTCTCGGTAGAGTCTGAACCTGGAATACGATCTAATACTAGGATCGCGACGGCGTCTTGTTGTATAGGATGACGAAAGTGGAGGAGTAAAAATTCATGTTCTTTGCCGATGGTACATTTGCAGTAAACAATGCGTTCAAGCTGGCACTGCTGAAGAAAGATCGTTGCCCAAGAGGAGCGTCTGCCATTGTCCTACGTCGTTCTTACTATCGCCTGAGGTAAACACACCAGGGGCGTCGGAAGGAGAATTCATGAAAGGACGGAAAATCGCTGCAAGGAAACCACGAACACTGAAACGATTCGTACCATACTTGAAGCCTTTGAAGGACATTGCAAGTTGACAAGGGTTTGAACGTTTGAACACGAGGCAAGCAGTGGCTGTATTAGTATAGAAGGAATGCGGTCACCCTGTTTCATGTCTGCTCCTTCAATACATTGATCACATCAATCTTGCTCCCAGCACTTTGAAAAACCCCTAGCGCCTGGCCATCCGAGGCTATCCCTACATTCGGGTCGAGTCCAGGCTGGCCCTACCTAATCTCATATGTCTCGCCCGTCTATACTGGCAGGCCACCAAGCATCGGGCACTTCGCACTCCTGCAGATGCAAAATCGAAATGAGTCCGATCTCGCACCCCTCGATACCAGTTGCGGTGGTTACTCGTATTTCAGACGTTCACAGAAGACTCACTCTATTTTACCGAGCAATCTTCATGTTGGCAAGTTCTATACGCCATGAACATCAGACTCCCACAACAATCGCAGCACTCAGTCAACCCTGTCACCACTCAAGAGATTCAGATTCATGATCAATTTGGCCAAGTTACCGTAGGAAAGAAATGCAAAGAAAACAGGGGCGACAATAAACAAGGAAGTGCTTAAGAAGCTCAGTGAGCAAGATTGTAGTTAGGGAAGATACTGAAAGCAAAGGTATCGAAAGCAATATGCGACAACACGAAACGTAAAATGAAAGTGTCATTTCACCCGTGAGGTCCATGACAACTTCCATCATGATGAAATGCAAAATTAAGGTATTTTCCCTGGATCCAACTGCGTCAAAAACAGGAATCACTCGAATCGAAGGAACCATACCACATACCAAAGTGAGCTTGGGAAGTCTAGGGGAAAAAGTAGAAAATGATGCCAATGTCGTTTTATCTTGTCGTCATTATATGGTACAACGGGATGCAAGCGGGCCCGCAGGGTATGTATGAGCATAATATGTGAAGAATGGTGTGGCATGTACAGATGCAAGATCATGAGTGCTCTGCGTCATAGTTTATTGTGCGTCGTGTGGGTCTGCAAGTACGTTTCATCAGTAACAGTCAGGGATGTCAATTAGAATCCATACCGTATGTATCTTGGCAAAGCAAAAACATTCTATCATTTCATAAACATTTCAGCAGAGAAAGAATTGTCGTAAAGGCATATCCAAGTCGTGGCAACAATCCAGATTTGTTCGTCCTAACGCGCGTGGACATCAGCGCCCCCATCTATGATCCAACTTGCATGAGGTGTCTGAGTCACTGTCGCATAAGCATCCTCGTGCTGATCGTCCTCTCGATTTTGCACGCCTGTTCCATTGTCGAAATCTTGGCTATCAATAGTGCAAAATGTTGTGGTACTGTGCATCCGGTTATTGATGAGCTACACGATAAATCGTAAGCCACACAGCAAGCGGACAGGAAAGAACGAGGCTAAAACAAAGCGATACTTACACCTCCGATTGGTCGCGAGTAATCTTCAAAATCTCGTAAGCTTGAATTGCTCCTTCCTTCGACAGGGTCGCGCAGGCGAGGATCAAGAAGTCCATCAGCCGTAACAAGACGTGACTCGTCAGTGGGCGCAGGAGGGGAACTTGACTGCACTGTAATCCATGGCCACGAGGGTGGCTGCAAGCCATCCTCATGTTCTGTCACGTCGACGTGAACATACGGCGAGGAAGGCCGCGGATCTGGGTTAGACAGAACGAATCGCGGGGATGTTGATACGGATGTAGGTTCGGGAGTGGCAGGGGAGACAAGGGCCGAGAAGGCCTGCGAGGTAGCATTTGGGTCAGTAGCTCCCTCGCTCTCTATGTCTCTAGGCAATTCTCTTGAGGAATCTGCCTTAGGGCTCGGCGTATTGCCCCGTCTGAGACGACCAAGCAAAGCCCGTACGCCAAAAGGTCTCTCGTCCACAGAGCCAGATAGAGATGCGGATACAGTAGTGCTGCTTCCAGTGCTCTCTCGCTTCCCTTTCTTCCACCTCGTAACGTGCTTGCTCTTGTAAGTAATCGGAGCTCCACTAATCGCAAGTCCCAGCGCAGGTCCCTGATATGATCCAGTACCAGACGAGGTACTCCCAAGCCCAAACCCATACCCGTGCGAAGACGTACTCCGCAGTGCACCCTGAGACGAAATACTCCGCAGGACGTCGAACGAAGCAGTCGCACTCAGCATGCCAGAAGACGGTGACGTAGGTGGAAGGTTATGGCTATTCATGCTTCCTTCAGGTGAACCGAAGGCTGACCCTAGCCTAACGTTGTTGCCAAAATCGAGATAAGAAGATCCGCTTCCGGCTCTCGTCAAGAGTGGTTCCTCGCTCCCAGTCCTCGTCCTAGTTCCGGTTTCAGTTCTGGTAAGGAAGTGCGTGGAAGAATGAGAGTAATGTGATGCAGCCGAAGGAGCAGGAGCGACACTATACCCCCCGAACCATGCAGAAGCATCAGGCCCAGGCGAACTTCTTCTTCGTGAACCATCAGAGGTATGCGGAATATACGCGGACGGTGGCGGAGGAGCGGAGTATACAAATGGCGGTGGAGGCGGAGATAATGGGAAGACATGAGGACCGTCATCATCCTCTGCTGGAAGTGAATACGGAGGCAGAGTAGGGGACGAGGTGTGCCCAATTGCCAGCTCTCCTGATACTTCCCCACTCGTATCTCCTTCAATTTGGGCATTCCTTCCCGCACCCATTCCCGCATTGAGAGCTGCGATAATCCCAGCGTAACGTTCTTCCATGTCTACTTCAGCTTCAAGCGGGCCGCCAGGCGCCCATGGAGGAATAGCGCTCGCATCACGAGATAGCTTGCGCTGTCGGCGACGAGCACAGAAAAGCCAGAGAACAGCGAAGGCGGTAGCTCCGAGGACGCCGAGGACAAGACCAGCGATAGAACCAGGGGAACGAGAGAGTCTGCGGAGATCCCCATTAGCACAAATTATAGCAGGTGACCTTATAACAACGCCACAAAGGCGAAGAACCTACCCGTTCCCAGTGGTATTTACTTCTGCGGTACTGAGCACCCCGCTCGTTACCGTCGTCCAAGTGGTGGTAGGATGACCCGACAGGACGGAAGTCAGAATGAGCGTTGATGTCCACGGAGTAGTGGCCAACGTAGTGCCGTATTGGTCGACATCGGTAGTAGAAATAATCAACGTGGTGGTAAATGGAGTGCTCGTGCTTCTCGAGATGGACACCGGAGAAGAGCTGAATGTAAAGGCCGTGTCCGATGGCGAAGATGGATCTGCCAACGAAGACTTTGTGGAAGTGGAAGTCAAGACTACTGCGGAAGTAGATATTGTCGTTACTGAGAAGGACGAAGACAATGAAGTAGAGGGGAGAGGAATGGGTGAAATGGTGGAAGATGAAGTAAACCCGGGTACGGTAGACGTTGGGAATGATGTTGAGGATGTCATAGTAGGTGTAGAGGATAATGGCGAGAGTGTATATGTTGATATCAGAGAAGATGAACCGGAGGACGAACTGTCAGAACTTGGCCTCAAAGAAGACGATGAGGGCGTACTTGAAGTTGTCCCAGTACTCGCGCCCGTTGTCCCAGAATTTGCAATAGACGACGAAGAACTGTGAATTCGAAGTTGCATGAACATGCCCCAAATAGTTTCGGGAGGACCTACCTCAAACTGGACGACGCTGAACTGGACAACGGTTGAGATCCACTACTGACGGTTGTCGGAGAGGGAGTGGAGGTCTGTAGGAAATAACCATTTCCAGCATGTGATGGATGGATATTTGCCTGAAGTGACGACAGGAAAGTGAATAGACAACGGCCATCAAGAATGATACATTCGAAATGGAAGTGTAACGTTGATGATGAAAATACAACAGTAAACAAATAAAACGAGAATATATGTTGAAGAGAGTGGTGAATGTGTTGATGGTCATAAGCGCGAGAGATGCAACGTGAGTGATTCCCATGATGGAAGCGAAGAACGTATGGAACTAATGTCATTGATCGGACACAGACAATGAAATATCGTACGCACCTGAGAAGCCATCGCACTAGATGTTGTGAATGCTTGTGACGATGTCAGAAACTGAGAACTCCCGAGTACGTCGTTGGTCGATTTGAAACTAGTACTGCTCAATGTATTCGAGCCCTGGGATGTCAACGGTATCGGGGACAACGGGCTCGCATTAATAGGCCTGCCACTGAATAAATTATTGATGGAGGGCAAAACTGGGTTTGTGGTCGTCGAGTCTGCGGGTATTCGTTCGACGAGGAATGGAACAGAGTTGCAAGACGGATCGAGGACCATATCTAGATTCTCATGTATATAAATAGTTGGATAGGTGGTGCTCAGAGTAGTAAGCGTTGATGATTTTGGAGAAGGTCAACCAAGAAGGAGAGATAAAACGTGTCGTCTAGTTCGTCGCGAGAAAAGAGTCTGAAGGGAGGATTTGTACTAGTCGGCAAATTAGAATGAATTGGCGGGGCTAGAATAAGACGCTTACGAGAAGGTTCCTCGACGACTACAACTGTTGTAGCAACTGTATATAGTGGTTTATGCACCGGTGAACGCAGCGACGAGGGGGTTCGCTGTGTCTAATAGCGGTGTTCAGCTCTATGGGCTGTAGTATTCTGTGTACAGGAAAGAGGTCGAGACGATGACTCGAAGACAGATTTACAGATATGAGCGCTTGAATGCGATCACAGCGCATCGCATCGGGCTTGGAAGCATAAGTGACAGTCCCCTTCTACGCCAGAAAGTGGAAGTAATTGCCAACGTCAGTGCGTAGATTTACATATCATTCAAAACGTTATACTCAAACCTCTGGTTCTTGGACAATCCTCTGTATGATTTTGCAATAGTATGAAGCTTTGAAGGGCGTAAAACATATAACACACAGGATGACGTCGTAGCACCACAAGGTGCATGGTACCTCAGCTCACACAGTTGGGCCGAGGCACTACTAGAAGGCGGTGAGCACGATGCAGCCGCCAGCGTGCATCAGCTTGGATACCTGCCTTTTTTGGGGCCACACGTTTCTGGGGATCCCCCACTGTTCGGCCCCATTTGCTAAGGGGGTCAACCGGCCACAACGGGTCACCGGTCAAACGAAGCCCGTCAACTACGTTTCTATCCTCATGTCGTCCAGCATGTAATACTGTGGCAGACATCACGCATCACTCCACTCTCGACTCGCGTACAGGCTTGCTGTGCTTACCTTCAAGTTTTCGCATGTTGAATTAAACTGTCAACCACTCGGATCCTCTCATTCGCAAGGAACACCTGCAAAGTTGTTACTTACCGGGCTTCCGATCTTACCGTGATGTTACGGTCTCTATTGATATTTCCACTCACTAATTCCGCATGCATCATGTCTTCTCGTTTACATAATATCAATGACACTTCCCTGCAACGTTTCCCCTGTAACATGCTAATAACGATAACCCCAGCACTTCAAGACGACCTGCCTTGGAGGTGTTGCGCTGGTGGGTGGCCTCTCATGCAACAGGCTACTGACCATTCTTTCTAGTCTTCTTGTCCCAGATGTTAAACCCGCTTCAAAATTTCATAGCAACTATAATCAGATCCAATATGTCCTTGATCCTTCTTGATCGCGTGTCATATTCGACGTCACTCGCCGTATCATTCGGTTCTTATCTTGCCTCGTGCTTGGGAAGAAGATAATCTCGTCCAGACAATCAAGTCTTCTCGGATCCATATCAGTCCATATCATGCACTGACCAGGCTCCTATCCGACGGCCGAGGCAAGTCTTATACTACGGACAAGTCGAGCGGCGTAGCCATCAAATATCACGATGGTCACTGTCAGAAGTCACTGTCAGAGCGACTCGTCACGAGTCTGAAGCCAAGGGTGATCGATCTCAGGTGAATTTCACTGATCCTGAGCAACCCTCAAATTGTGTGCCTGCTGTCAGGTCAGTTTCCACGGGTGTAAAGATTATCTTGGATCAAATTTATCTATCTATCGATGAAGTTCCGTAATGGACTAGAAATTCTGGAATGTATCAAGCTTGGCAATCAATACCACTCTTAGGCCAGACACGTTGGCAAGTCGAACAAGAGGCTTGAATACGACGCGGCTCCTGCATTGCACGTACAACTACAGTACCAAAAGCGTTAATTAATAGGTAATCGAATCATTGGGCGAATTTCGTATATCGCGTTTACAAAGTGTTATCCGTCATCAGGGCGGCTGTAACTCAACCTATGAATAAACTCGTTAAACAATGACGAAATCTAACCCCTGAAGGCATTCTTCTTTTAGCGCTGCCCAGGCCCAATCCATCCACTTGACTACTACTAGACCCTGCAGGGATTCCAGGCGCTTCTGGGGGTAGTTAGTGCGATAGAGTGTTTCGGCACGCAGCAATACATGGCTTCAAGTATACAAAAACCAGTGTTCTTCCAAACCTTTTGTGGGCACTTGTACGCCACCAGCCATGATGCATGAGCTCTGATAACCGTAAGCAGTCGAGCCTTCTTGAGGAAGTTATGATTCTAACCAGTCTACCTCTCCAGTGAACTCCGAATCCGTCTAAGACTCCCGATGAGGGTTAGTACTAGTCGAGACTTCTACTATGACCTTTAGGCACCCATGATCAGGCCTCAGGCAGCATTAGTCAGATTAGTTAATGACGGTGACTATCTCAAGGTTTGGCTTAACAGCATCTTACGAGCGGCCGCCGGCAGGCAGACTGATCCCACGTCACGGGGCCAAAATATTGTGCAAAGGCCGCACGCGGTGCAGAATCTGCCTACCGAACGCGACCACTTCTTCGAGGTCCAGCACATCGTTACCCTCATCACGGAGGATGGTAACTGGATGCAGGCGCCGATTGGAGTCGGACAATATATCGATCTTGCAAGTACCACAAAGCTGGACTGCTGCGTTGAATGATATTCGCAACAGGTTTCCCTCGTCAATGACGAGCGAAATATTTTCCGCATTGCACGTGCCCTTCATCAGGCAAAGAAAACAATTCCCTTCAACACATACCCAAACAACGCCCAAATCGCAAATTACCTCCGCTTCAATCTGCAGAGCGGAACAGTTGATGGCCAGGTCAAGTGGCCGGCCAACGATATCATGATGGCAACTCGCCAATCAGCCCATAATGCTCTGACGCGGAGGATTGGCGGGAGAATAAAGCAAATCATGGGCTGGCCTTAGTTATACATGGAAGCCATCTGTTAATTAGCGGTCAGTTCTTTGACCAGCCATCAAACCAGTCTGTATCTTTCTATCAGTCCAATTTCAAGTCCTATTACATAGTTTATTCAATAGTGCCCTGCATCGGGAACGGTATGAAGCTTGGAAGTTGATTATGATCAGATCGACATCAGTTTCGAAGTCCAACGTCGATGACGAAGTCCAACCCTGAAGGCATTCTTTTGGCGCTGCCCAAGCCCAATTCACGCCTAGACCCTGCAGGTAAGGCTCTTCTGGTGGTAGTGTGGTAGAGTGTAGATTCGGCACGCAGCAATACGTTGTTGTATCTAGTGTTGCTGATACTTGTATAATATTTAGTGTTTCTGACGAGCGACATATGTCATGTAACGTCGAATGTGAGTATCAGTATTGGGATGGCAAATGTGATGCCTCCGTGAAACATGGTATCTACAAAACGAAAAAAAAACTCTAGGTAAAAACTACAATAAAAGTACGGGTATAATCATAAAAAATCTTCTCAGCCTCGTACCACTCGTCTCCCCTACCCGTCAGCATACATAGCATCTCGTCTCCTAGTCATCAACAATGAAAATATGTACACGGTCATAAACACGCGTATGAGCACTTCATACACATTTACTTCTTAGATTGCTTCTCCGGCATGAAAAGCCACCATACGCTGATAATCAAACGGATACCTGTACCGATGCCCAGTGTACCAGCCGAACCAACACTGTCAATCAACACACGGCCGACGAAGCCTCCCAAAAACAGGCTGAAAATTGCCATGACCTTGTGATCGCGCGAAGTGACGAGTCGTCGGATGTCAAAGAGCTTAGGGTCAGCCATGAGCTCACACCAAGTCGTCGTGAGCACAACTGCGGAGAGATGAAAGATTAGGGAAAAAAAATACAAAGATACTTGAAACACACCTGTAGTAGTGAACTGCGTATTAACACGCTTTCCCATAATGCCCTGCAAACCCATGCTTGCGCTCATGAATCCTATGCACACGAAGGACAACACATTGGTCCATGCGGGGTTGGCACGTGCATCAGCAACGCTACCCTCATGGCTCTTCCATATCGCAATAGCGGCTGCCATTGTAAATAGGGTTTGAATGAAGGTGCCGAGGGCCAGCCATAACCGTGTCTTGCAGCCCAACTTATCGCCGAGGCGGCCGATGAAGGCTCCGAAAATGAACGTGAGCACCGAGCACAGCGCTTGACGGTCCGCGATATGGAACGAGTGATCGTGCTGCCCGTTGAATAGGCGAGCAAGCGCAAGCGCCAGCTATTATGCAAAATGTTAGTTGGGAAAATTCTCTGCAAACGCGAAAGTACTCGTACTTGGACACTGTTTCCTGTTTGGAACGCGCACCAGACAAATATAGCAGAGAATGTAACCGAGTCGCTGAAAAAAAATACCAGTGAGACGCGAAGTAGACAAAGAGTACGATCTGACGCACATGAAACCAGTCATAAAGCAATATACAGTCAATGGCGCCGAGCACTGCTCTCCATCGACCTCCGCGAACAAATGTTTCTTCAACCTCACCATAGCCGAAGCATCATTATCTTCACCGTCGCGTCTGTCCTTGCCTATCGAATGCTGCGAAAACCGTTTCTGGGTGGCAGGTGGAGGCAACGTCGATGATGTCGGGTCCTGAGTAGCGTTCATGTCGATAATTTTCGGATCGTCAAATAGTACCACCGCCTGGATGGTCGTTAAGCTCAGGCTCGTTCTCAGAAATGGAAAAAGATCGAGGTCGGAAGGAAGGGAACTCTCGCGAGGAATAAGAGGGATGCCAAGTGATTTCAAAGACGCGGTCCGCTGATGTATCCGACTGAAAGAGCCGAGGCTGAGTTTGTTTTTCACGTACGACCGGGCATGCATCGATGTGCTCCTGCCAGTGGGCATTCAAAAAATTTCCATGGGACGATTCTGGGCCTTCTCTTTGTTCATCATCTCGTTCATTAACGCCTCACTATCGCCGTCAACTTAACTAGCCTGGTTGTGTAACGAGAGAACCGAATGAGACTTCAACTTGGCGGTTGGAATAAATTTCAAATGGCACCGCCACGTGTTTCGGTGTACTAAAGTGTGGAAATGAGTATGTAATAGGTATTTTGACTTACGAGAACTCCTCCTGACGCAGAAGCATGGAAATTGAAGTTGCTCTATTGCAGTAATGAAGGTCAACTATTACAGGTTGACTTTGGGACATCAACATCTTGTATCCTTCACGGCTGTTTGAAAAAGAATTTGGAGTGGTGACCCTGGAAAGCTCTATTTGGGCTACTAGTCAATCTCTCTCAGACTCGGAGCTGGCCATGTCTAGACTCGCTTTTATGAACTGACAGTCTACAGGACTTGGCAAGAAGTTAAAATGTTGAAACTCCCGCCGTATAGCAAGTTGAAGTAATGTTCTCTCGGAGTCAGGCTGATGCTACAAGGATGCAGTGATCGTGATCATGACGGTCGTCGATTGGCGTTCTTCGGAGTATCCGGTATCGTTATGATTCGACCGTCGTAAATTCCTCTTGACCTCGAATTGTGCAACTGATATGATCATAGGTCATATCTGATGATGGAAGTATGTGGAAAGATTCTTCTTGCCAGCTCCATACTAACTGAATCCTGATCAACGAAATGAAGTAACCGGATGATCAAATTCAGGTGATTAGATTCTTGATGGTTGTTCAACAAGCTCAGAGTTGGTATTTGTGTAACGATTGTTTGGACCCGAGGCTGTTGCCAAACAGCCCATCAATTATCTGATAAGGTTGGTCACAGCAATAACGAATTAAAGCAAGATTTATCGAAATGCTAAAACTCTTATCTTTGTTTTCCAGTGACACACGTTGCTCAGACAGGTTCGCTCTGAATGGCACATCCTGGACTACTGGTGAGGTTACGGTATGCACTACATTTAAGTATATGTCACTAGATGAACAGTGCGAGCCTGCTTATGCTGACCACATTAATTTCTTACATCTCTGTCGAATATATCTGTGATATCCAACTATTCACCGACGGTTCCGACTTGACACAACACCTCCACCTCCACCAGTCTGAGCAGCACCTGCTCTCATCTCGTCGTCATCGAGGCCGGCCTCGGCTAGGATCCTTTCTACTTCTTCGAGGATAGGTTTGTACTCCGCTAACGGGGCAACAGAATGAATGGTCAGCGACACGCATGGTCCATGCTGACCAAACGCGAAAAGACGTACCATATCGCTCTTCTGCAAAGCTAAAGCCATCCCTCCTAAGTTGTTTGCCCCGATTATCGCTTACGCCGTGGGCTTTTTGGGTCCAATATTCGCCTTCACGATGATCAGGGCTTCCAGGAAGCGAGACTGAGATAAAGCGAAGCTTACGACTTCGAGCATAAAACAGGGCTAGTGTTTCTCCCGGTTCTGGTGTGCTAATCACATCCTCCGCAGAGCGCACCGTGTCTTTGGATACACCCATGAACGCCGTCGCTTGCGCACGTACCTCGTCGTGCTTGATGCTCCATCAATTTTCACTGCACCACACAACAAAAGCATGTCTGCACTCACTCGCACATCTACGGGCTCATCAGCTTCTTCGTCATCGTGACTATCATCAAGCTTTTTAAGGTCGAGCCCCGCATCAGCTTCCCCTACCTGCGTCTCGTTATCACTATCATCATCTTCGTCGCTCTCTACACCTTCGTCATCCTCGTCGCTGCTGCTCTCGTCGCCCTCTGCTGGGATAACGATGCCGCTGTGCTTGAGGCACGTGTACCGTTCGAGCTTGTCGAGCTGGATCGAATAGAAATCGTCGAGTGTGTATTCCCTTGACCCACGCTCGAAGATGCCGCCATAGCTGATATGGGGGGAGGACGATTCAGGCAGTACGCAGTGGTCATAACAAAGATCAACGTACATGTACAGTGTATTCCTCAGCACAGCTAGCATAGTGTTGTACCGTGGTATTGGGGCCGTCAGTATTGGGTCATCAGGATCAACTCAGGGTCCTGCTAGTCTCATCTCAATATCCAACACCGCCTGCATGAGTGGAATCAGACCTCGGTGTTCTTAGACTCTTGAGTCTTGACTGCATTTTCATCTTCGTCCGAAACTTCATGCTCTCCCTGCTGAACAGCTGTAACCTTTCGCTTTCCGCCTCTCCCGGCTTTTTTCGGCTTCTTGAGTATCATTGATTGCCAACGTCCATTGCCAACGAGTTGGTATCCGTAGCTACCCAAGATTTGGTCAGTCTGCAGTTCCACGATCAATATAACCGCAAGCCGAGATAACCTCTCGGGATGACACTGCATGAAACCATGCAAAGAACAACCCGCACATCGACTCAGGTTCCTTTCAATGACTTACAGATCATTCCAAAATACGCTCTCGAGGCTCTCTTCATCCTTGTCATCATCTGTCACGCCGCCAAACATGATGCCCATACTCTTGGCTGACCACAGCGCCATTGTGCAGCCGCTCCGGATATGCGGCGCGAAGGATGGTTTCTTCCGCCTTTCCCATTTTAAACACAGCGAATCCGAGGAGACTGTGGAGGATGATGGAGGTTGGGACGTATCGAGGGACATGCTGTATACGAGCTGAAGTAGGATAGGAAGTAGGAGATGAAAATCTTACCGGAGAAACCAGGTATCGTCGAGCATTACGCCAATAGGACGTTTACCCTTGCTGTATTCTTTACAATAACCTCCTGCATACATAATAAAGAAGTGGTGTCGGATGACAAAGTTGCATACATACCATGTAAAACAATACCTTCTGGTGTAGAGAGAAAAGAGAACCCGCTTCTTGCGCTGCGTAGTAATCGATGTATGACTAGGTGCAAATCACAGAAGTAAACAGGGAACAACGCACGACGGTTTCCGATCAATATCCTTGAATTCGATTTGTCGCCATTTATACTCTTGAGTATCAAATACCCAGGTATCGTTTAGATATTGGGCTTGATTTTTCATATGCATTAGTGCAACATGAAGAAGCGGCATCCCATGCTAGAGACATACTGCGATACCCTGGGTCATAAAAACCGCCAAAGAGAACTATGTAGTGCTTCCACATCGCCATCCTGTACCATGATATGAATTAGAAGAGGTACAAAAGCGTTTCTTACGCACCGATGTCCTGACCTCGCGCTGGGTCTGATCTTAGTGTCCAAGCGATCCCATGAATGAGTGCTGATATCAAAGCACCAAAAATCCCTGTAGTGGTGGAACGTGTTCTGATGCAATGAACTAAACTCGCCACCGAACAAGAAGAGCTTTCCTCCTCCAGCTGCCGAAGCGACCACGGCATGTGCGCTGCGAGGCCCAGGGCACGTAGGGCTCACGAACTTGCGCCACTCATCCTTGTCAGGGTTGTAGCGGTAGATGTCGTTGTAAAAGTAGGCCTTGCCGTCATCGCTAAAGAATTCACCTCCGATGCACCACAAGTGGTTTCCGCTTGGGCACGGTGTCAGAGTCGCGTTCGCGCGCCGGGAAGGTGGGCCCTCGACTAGTTCCTCTGTGACCTTATGCGCATCTTCCCATTCGCGGTTCATCTACTAGCAGGCACCGTTGGGTCAGCTCGATCTCGGACGCATGTGATGAAAATCACCTTGTCGAGGATGGCCTCCAGATCTTCATCCTCTGGAGGTGCATCGGTCGTCTTTTTGCTCTTCTTCTTTTCTTTCTTAGAAGTCTTGGCTTCTGCTTTCTGCTTTTTCGCCGCCTTCGCAGCTGCTTTACTTGTATTCTTCTTCTCGTTGCCCATTAATGGATCGATGTTGATCAGATACTGGTCAATGACAAGTTCAGCAGTTGCACAGCCACTTCTTAATGTAATCAAAGTTTTAAACCCAGTGAAAACCCACTGTTCCGAGTCTGAGAATTATTTCAATTTGTCTTGTCGTTTTATCAACTTTGAGACCCGTTCATGTGTACATGTCTGGTGGTACCCTAATTAAATCCTTCTACAGTCACAACAGCCACAATATCAAGGAGTCACGTCGGATTCACTGATGTTGGGGACCCACCAGGATCCACGGCCCCTCATGTTCGGTGTTTCCCGAGCGGGTACCCCCTGGATTAGCCGTTCCGAGGACTCATCTGGAAGTTGTCAAGGGTAGCGCTTATCTGTGTTTCCAAAGTGTTTTCACCTCTGAAATCGCACTCCTCAACTTTTCTAACCAAATTGCAATGCTGCCTCTCGCCTCGTATCCCAATTCTAGGCGATTGCCCTTTGTGACACCGGCGACTGAGGCCCGTCGCATTGCTAGCTCCGCCCAGTCTTCCAACAGCAGCGACCATAAAGACCATAAGTCGAGCACCGATTTCGCATCCTTGCCTTTGTACGAAAAAGGGGATAAATTCAGGCTAATGTTGATTGGAAATCGCACATCTGAGAAAGCAGCGATTCTGAACGAGGTGAACGTCCCGTCCAAGATTCCGTCGAGATTTATTGATGTACGGAATATGTCTCAGTTATCGGGAGATCGAGAGTCTCTTGATCTTCCTCCCACAGCAGTTCTTAATCCAAGTACGTGAGATAGTAGGCGCTGGTGGCAGCGTCTCACCAAGATTCCATCCCAGCCGGTGTTGAACACTACTTGCACAATATCGACACAACATTTGAGAATAACTCCTTGCTTGAGATCAGCAACTGGGAGGGCTCTGGGGTAGATAGCGAACATGAATCCAGCGCGATTCAGGCTTTCATAGCGAGTCGCCTTGTGCATGCGATATGGTACACTCCTTCATCATTCATACGCACAAGCTGAAAATTGTCGATCACCGTAGGTACTGTGTACCCTCTAATCTCGGGCAAGCCAAGAAGTTCCTCTCGGTGCCCTATCAAGGTAAACACACTCAAATCTTGCAAGGAAGGCACAATAATCACGACGTGCAGTTCCCGTTATAGCTGTTTTCACAGATTTTGACCGATTGATGGACGAGACGATATATACGCTGTGCACGGATGACAGTAAGACTTACGACCCGCGCTCACCACAGAATCAGCTTTCTGCGAGCGTCATAGACGCAGCCAGAGAATCCGTTGTACAGCAATTCGAAGCGGGGTATAAAACTGTCTTGATGCAAACACCTTACCCTCCCGATGCGGTTGTCGCAATACCCAACTGTAAGCGGCGTCTATTGAGCTCAGTCCTCAGAAGTAAACATGGTCACGTCAGCCCGTAAATCTACTCGAGCGCGCAATTACCTTGCGGACGTGGTTCAGGCAACGATGACTTCGCTCAGAAGTGGCGATGAACTTGCCAGGGGTCTTTCTGGTCATCGTTTAGAAGCCCTGTTTGTTGCGGCTCAGAGAGCAGATGTCGATCCCAAGTACCAACTGTCGCTTTTGTGAGTAAATTCCGAATCTCGTCTGACTTGCGCACAGTCCTGATGCTTCTTGAGGTATGGACTTCCGGGTCAGTCTTCAACGCTGCTCCAGCATTCACCATTTTGATTTTCTGTCAAAGATACAATCTCCCAGATAGAACTTGAGGTCCCGCGTCTTCCTTTTCGGCGGAGGCTTATTCAAATCTGGGGTACGTCTTTTACTGTGACAGAAGTGCGTAATTCTTTGTCCCGACTCTACACCAACCTTGTGTATATGTCTGTGCCTCCTTAGATCTTATCTACGTTCAAAAAATATGTTGAGAATGATCGGCGAACCATTGGTAATAGTGCTGTCGGCTCCATTCCTCGCCCAGAACTCGCAGCTATGTCCGCCTTGGAGCGCAAAGGATGTAGATGTGCGCAATTAGTGGCTGGTATGACTCGTTTTGTCTCCAGTGTCCTATCGCTCACCGTGCATTCAAGATCTAACATTCATCATGGCGCAGATTTTCTTGCTGAAAATCCAAAAGGCTTATGTCCTGGAAGCTCTCATCAAAGAGTACACAGGCTCGGATGCGTTTAGATCCATACAGGAGGGTGTAATCAAAATATACCGGTCTTCTCGTAGGAATCGGCAAAGCTTGGGCGATGGGACACGGATTGTCATGCCGCAAATCCAACGCCAGCTGGAAGACCTTGTGAGGCGTGTCTCCTCCAATGCGGCAGATCGGTTCAGGCTGTTGATAATTGGGAAGCCTGGTGATGCCAAGGTTACGATCCTCCACAAGGTAGGGTCTACCGAGCTGCCTCATGTATGTATGTGAGTAACAGGTTTATACCTAGGTTTTAGGCGAAGGAAGTGTAAGTGTCGTGCTTTGTAGCCTCTGTATTACGAACTAAATCATCGCTTCATTCTCCAGTTAAGCACTGTCCCTAAAATCGTGCAGTCCCTTTCGCACCTTCAAATTGTAGGTAAATCTAACGGTTGCACTGATAGTCCAACGAATACCGCATTTTTGCGGAAACAACGTCCAGTGATAATGGCTTTCTAGTAGTTCATGACGCGGACGAGCCGGAGGGTCAAAAGGAACTTTGTGTCATCACACAATTTATGGCGTCTCGCAGAGGAGAAGACCTAAAGAAGCAGCTGCATGCAATATGGTAAATGCTTCACATTACCAGGAGCCACGAACCTGATGATCGATGGTCATTATAGGTACATACTGGAGCTCTCAGGGAAAACCAAAATTACTGAGCTGCCATTCTTCGCTGTGCGACACGAAGGCATGTTCACGTTGGTCAGATAAATGTGCATTTTACTGAGTGAATGTGGGTGTTACAGTGCCGGTGGTGGCAATCATCTGTCTACCCTTCGAAATGATTCCGGAGGACGCCCTGCGCATTAAATCTGCGCATGCTGCTGCATTGAAGCAGACTGCGTACCCTCCTGAAGCCCTCGTGATGGTGATCGAGCGTACGTGTAGATTGCTGATGTTTCCTATACTTCTACAGAATTGAAAATCCAAGATAGCGCGGAAATCCACACCAAAGGATAGTCAGTTGACTGAATTGATCCAAGCAACTATTGAATTGCTTAGAGTTGGTGATAAAATCCCGAGAGATGATCCACGCCGTCAGTTGGAAAACCTTTTCGTTGCCGCTCAAATGGCAGATGTTCGACCTAAACGACACCTGTCATTATCGTATGTGTTCGTTACACAGTGGTACGCCCGGCTAACGGTCATTGTTATTTAGGTATGGTCTCCCAGGTCGGTGGTTCCGCATCAATTTTGACTATATATGCTCATTTTATCCACAGCTGTAATCTTGGAGAACGAAGCAGAATTCCCACCAACATTGTCACAGAAACTGAGGGTCATTCAGATTTGGGACATCCCTTGGCCGGTGGAGACGGTTCGTAGCTACTATTCGACAAGGCTGGATTTTGGAATGCTAACTTCCGCCAAAATGTCCCACGATGCTCTGGTTCAGATTCTATCGCTGTTCAAGCTACATGTTGAAGAATCCCCGTTAACAAGTGCCATCGGCCTACCCGAAAGTCGGTACCTGAATCCCATAAAATGGCAGGCTGCGCGATGTGCACAGCTAGTTGCAGGTACCATCACTTGGCACCGCACCGGTCTGTTTGAATGGTATACTGAAAAATTTCCCCTCCCTTGTAGGTCTAACACTGGTCATGGAGTATATCTTCATGTCCAAGATCAAAGACAGTAGCCTTCTCGAGGACTTTCTCGAAGGATTTACTGGTTCTCCATCTTTTTCCTTCATTCAAAATGAAACCATCAACATCAGCTGGAATGAACGTGCGCAAACTCGTAGAGTGAAGACAACAGGCCCAAAAATCTTCATGGACCTCGTTGTCCCCCAGCTGACAGAAATCGTAGACAGAAGTATATCCACGGAAAGGGAAAGATTCCGGATATTGTGCGTTGGCAGGCCTGGATCTGGAAAGGACGTCGTCCTAAGCAAGGTGAGAATCGTGTCTGGGCATTGATAACACTTCCGAATTGCCTACATAATATAGATATGTGGTCAGGAAATAACTTTTGATCGCTCTGGGCGCAAGGTTGGACCCACGGACCCACAAGATGATATTGCAGTTGTCAGGACTGTAAGGCAAATTATTCACTGTGCAATCACAGAAGATGTAACATCCTCACAGATACCGAGCACGAGCATCGACGAGGAGATAACATTCACTGGCAATGGCCTGCTCGTCGTCCATGACGTGCAACCGGGTCATCCAAACATTCAAGATGATATCAATTCATTTATAGCATCCCGATCTCAGCATCAGTCTGTAGCTGAACATGTTCATGTGATATGGTACGGTCAACCTGAACAATACTTGCCATATACGAGCCTCCAACTCTCATTCCAGGTACTTTCTCGCGGCAGACCAAGGGGAACTAATGGAAGCACAGGCGTTCTTTTCTGTCCCACATGAATGTAAGCTCACCTGTCGAAATTTTCTTTTGATATATATGGATGATGGACAGTGCCTGTCGTGGTCATCTTCACTGGCTTGGATGAGTTCGTGAGAATAGAACTGCAGAAAATTAGCGACAGCGAAAGCGATGTCCCTCAGGCTGACGAAGAAGAGACCGAAGAAGAAGACCCTGAAGAACAAGCTATGTCAAGAGCTATGGAGAGGTTTGGCACTCAATACAAACACAAATTGATGATAATGCAGTACCCTCCCAAAGAAGTTGTCGCGCTGTCTGAGCGTAAGTACAATTCGCCGTGTTACGTGTCCCTTCACGAACCCTGACCTCCACGACAGCCCACAAGTCAGATCCGAAAGACAGCCGGTTCTCTGGGTTGGTTGCGGCAACTTTGGAGTGTCTTAGAGTCATAGGCGAGGTACCGAAAGACGATCCCCGCCGTCGTGTGGAAACCCTTTTTATAGCCGCGCAAATGGCAGATGTTAGACCCAAACGCCATTTGTCGCTGTCGTAGGTGTCGGCTCTCGTTTGAATGTGTTCAGTAACTAATAGTCGTCTTTACGCAGATCTGGATTTCCAAGTCAGTACTAATCTTCGTTACCTTGCCTAAATTCATTCTTGACATATCTTATTGATAGCCATTGTCGGCGAGAAGTATGAACTAATGCCATCATCAAATCGTCGCCTCAGACAGAGGTTCAGAGAGATCTGGGGTCCATCCTTACCAGTCAAGACAGTCCGTACATAATCTTTCATCATACTGTCTCAGAAAGCTGATTCGGCCCTCACTCGTATGGCGGTTATCGTAGATCTTTTCGATGTTCAAGGAGTCCATTGAAGATGACCCAATGACCATTGGACACCCACAATGTTCCCTTCCGGAAATCAGGCAATTGAAACTGCTGGAAATTAAGGGCTCTCGATGCGCGCAGCTGGTCGCAAGTAGGTGACACTTGTTCCCCCAATTCTCGCATTGAACGGAATTTTGTAAAGACATGACTTCCATAATGGAGCACGTCTTCCTTCAGAACATCCAAGATGAGGTTTCTCTTGGAGATTTCATCGAAGGATTTACTTCTTCGCCGATTTTCGCCTCTACTCGGCAGGCTGTCGTCAAAATCAGATGGGATAAGTCGCATCTACTGCCGGGACATGATTCAGAGCGGGTGATGACAACCAAGACGGCATGCAACCAGCTGAGGGAGATTATGGACCGGGTTTCGTTAGTTGATGAGGAGAAGTTCAGGTTGTTGATCATAGGTAAGACCGGTTGTGGAAAGACCACGATCCTCAGCAAGGTAAGAGGCGTAGCCAGTACGGTTCGTCTATACTGAACACTTCATCTAGGTATGCGGTGAGAACGTGGTAAGCTCCTTAATATCCCTACCGCCTGCCCTCCTAAGGTGTATCCCAGGCTGATAAACCCAGTGAATCCGTAAGACGTTGATTCAACATCGGCTGCAGAAAGTTAGGATCAGCTAAAATGACCGAATAGCGAGGTATCCACGATATCCACAAAGAGATGGAATTTAAGGAGAACAGACGCATGGTCGTTCATGACTCGGAGGGCTTCGAAGCTGGACGTAAACGGGAGTTCCAGGTTGTCAAGAGGTTCATTGAATCCCGATCACGCAAAAAGATGCTCCACGAGCAGTTGCATATGATCTGGTATGGTTTTCTCCCACTATCTCGGCGAATATCAGGAGACCAGATATCATCAGGTACTGCCTTCAAACAAACTCGAGGCCTGTTCAAGAGTCTGAGAATTTGTTTTTCTCGTCGGAGCACAACGGCAAGCTTTCCGTTCCCAGATACCTAAGAAAGTTATTCATCGTTCAAATTAGTCCCTGTTATCGCTATCTTCACTAAATATGACTTGTTCGTGCAAGATCAGCTGCAAAATATCATGGAGTGTGAAGAAGCAGAAGACATATATGACGACGAGGCTGCGACGGACTCCGACCTGGACTCAAACGAAGGGTCCGGTCAACCCTTCCAAGTCCTCGAAGAACGTGCAAAGTTACTTGCATCGCAGAAGTTCGAGGAGCACTACAAGAATGTACTTATGCAGATGCCACACCCTCCCAAATCTGTTGTGGAACTATCCCATTGTAAGTCTGATTACTCTCGCTTTCAGCGTACATCTTCAGCGATGATCAACCTAGTGCACGACTCAACTCCGAAGGCCAGTCGGTTAGGTAGCCTGATCGAAGCAACCATGGAAGCACTCACAGTGACGGATAAGTCGATGGCTAAGGATAATCCTCGCCAACGCCTTAGAGCTTTGTTCGCAAAAGCTCAAATGGCGGAAGTTTCCCCTAAGATTTCTTCGTCCGTGCAGTGCGTTTTTAATTCAAGTTATCAACGTAGATGAAAGCACTAATAGCGGGTATTCAGTTACGGACTTCCATGTATGTGAACGCGCCATAAACGGAAATCCAAGCTAATTCCAACTCACAGATGAAATCTATGAGAAAGAGCTGCAGGTCCCATCTCCCCTCTTCCGACGGTTGCTCATAGAAGTGTGGGGCTCTAAGTGGCATGTACTGACTGTATGTTCATGTCTCTTGATATCCGGTCACTTGGGAATTCTGATTTTCTTCTTCTTTGGAAATCTATAGATCATGCGGATATTCCAAAACTGCATCGAGGATCACCCAGAAACAATAGGAAATGACGGTTCTCTATCCCATCCCGAAGTCAAAAAGATGACATTGAGGCAGCGGAAAGTATGTCGATGTGTACAGCTCGTCGCAGGTACGTTGAATTCCTGGTATAACCATCGCCTTTTAAATTGATATGACTTGTCAACTTTAGACTTGATTCTCATCATGGAGCAAGTATTTATTTCCGAATTGCAAACCATCGATGAACCGCAACTCGAGGCCATTTGCAAGAACTATCTCTCTTCAAGGGCACATGCTTACATCTTTGAGGAGCTCATAAACGTGGATTGGCATAAATTTCAGAACACAGAGTCCACAAGAATGATAACTGGCAGAGCCAACGCCCAGTTGAGGAGGGTCTTGGACAGTTGCCGAAAGCACATGTTAGGCTGATAGTGAGTTTGAAGGGGATTGGGAACAGATCGATGTACATCAGTGAACTGATGAACATATTAAAATGTCATAGTAGGCTATATCCCCGACACCGACTGTAAGACAGACAGTCATACCTCGCTTGATCACGTGGTGTGACTTTTGCGGTGACCCGACTGTGACACTATGTTACATTTTCACACCTGGCTATCCCAATTAGTAAGCCTTGTTAGACTTGGTACACACGTGCTGTGTCAACTACTAGATGGTCACCAGAGTTCGCGTTTTTTTTTTGCAATGACAATAGCTCCTCAACGTCTGGGCCAAAATCGAAAATTCTTTTACCGTTGGATAGCCTGATGTCGGAAATACAATGCCTGCTAGTTTTTTTCTCGAGATTTGAAGAGTTGAGTCCAGCGGAGGCTTACTGTCTGATTGTCTCAAGGGTTCGCGTTTTTGTCACACTATGTCACACCCTGCCGTCGAACCATTTCACACTCCGCACGTATACACCAGCAAGTGAGCTTGAGATGCACAATGATATCTTGTAAAATTAGACAGAATGATAGTATGTGAAATGTACGGGAAGATATGCAAGTATGTTACAGTTGACTATATGAAAGTAAGGTATGATGACAGGTACTTAATCTCGAGGGCTAGCGTGAATTATAAGGTAGGTGTAGTTGTTGAGGTGGTGCAGGTTGATGATCAGCATAAGAATAAGGATGAAGAGTATGATAATGTGTACCAGGTATATGTAAATTGTGTTGGGAACTCAGAGTAAATGGGTGATGCTCGTTCAGTCGATGACGAACTGCAGGATGCTCAGGTTGCGCAACAGTGGCACTTGCCGGTGCTACATTCTCGTCATTTGTGCTTGTGTGCGCATGCGTGCGCTTCTGTCTGCGAGGGGCCCGACCATAAAGACCAGCAAATTTCATATCATCCTTCAACTGGGGGTGACCATCAAGGTGTGCTTGAATTAGTGCAATACGTTCAGGAGGCCCTTGATGGCATCTTCTTGCAGAGTGCATAACACTTCTGTTTGATGGTCTGTTTACTGATTGGGTTGCCTGCAGCATCAAGGTGCTTGATCCAATCCACAAGCACTCGCTCTTTGTGCTCTGAGAGCAGCTGCTGGTGCTTGTGAGCATCACTAAGAGACTTGCGAGCACCACGAAAGCGATCATGAAGAGTGCTCTCGGGAACACCATAGTAAGCTGCAGTTCTCTTGATGTTCGGTTTGTTGCCGGCTTGCTGATCTTCCTGAAGCTTTGTGCAGGCCTTCTTGATTTTGTCTTCTTGGGCCTGGCACAGCTGTTTAGGTTTGACCATCCAGGTCTTCAGCGCTAAGACTCCAAAAATGACGCATGTGTTTAGTGCCGCATTTTGGCACAGCAGAATCTCAATTCCTATATCACACTTTGGATGGATTGTCACGTCTGATCGTATTTCTTGTACCACACATCATTCTATCAAGAAAGTAGTCTCGGAGATATTTATTTTAACATGGCCTAATCATATACATTCACGATGTACCATTTCAGAATTTTCTGTGATGATATGCTTGCTGGAGTGTGCATTCTATGTGTAAAACTAGCCTCCAGCACCATAAACTGAGCCCTGGCACAAGAACCACTTGGATTTTTTTCACAAAAAAAATATGACAATGTGTATTATGCTTGGGAGAACCCATATGTAACATACAGGAGGATTCTGTGTAGAATTGTGTGTGCTAGAGTAAAAACACGAACCCATGAGACACACAAACCTGCGTGACCATCTAGTATAATTAGGCTTGCCTGCAGTTAAATCCCGACACCAGCAAAACATTGCCCTAAATCATCTTTTACCTCTAGTACTGTATTACCACAGTCGCTAAATATACTTGGTGAGGTATGTGACCACCAAACAGACTAATCTGGGTAGCTAGCGCCCTCTATAGCGCCATTCCCGCCATTCCAGCAGTTTCCATTCCAGGCCCATTCTCAATTAGGCCCTGTTCGAGTAAGGGGCGTTCTCATGCCCCTTACTCCTTACCTCCACAGCATGCGCTGCCTACAGCAACCAGGACAGTGCCAATACATCATGTCCCATGGCACCAGTTCTCTCAGCCTCAAAGGTGTCTTGTCTTTCTTTTCATTCCAGCAGCTTCCGTTTCAGGCCTGTTTTCAACAAGGCCCTGTTTGAGCAAGGGGCATTCTCATGCCCCTTGCTCCTTACCTTTATAGCGTCGCCTACAGTGGCCAGAACAGTGTCAGTACACCATGCCTTGTGGAACAGGCTGTACCAGGTTCAATGGCCTCTCAAAATTGGTCATATCCCATTCATTCAGAGGGTGTTGTTGCCAAACACATATCCTCATGGCTGGCAAGCAGTCTCAGCATGTAGCTGACGCAGATGCTATGCATCGGTGTGGTGAAAGAAATAGTAATCAGCTAGATATACCAACTAACTTACTAAATCCAAATGGGTGCGAGTGCAGTACTTCGACCCAAGGGGACTGCTATTGAAGCACTTCCTTCGAATAGTGCGAGGGAAGAGAAAGGAAGAACTAAGCTCTATGGCCTGAGATATCCGACCGACCGAAGGTCCAGTCCGAAAATGTCCGACGCGATATGGGATACCGATGGTACACCCGGCGAGATACCGATGTGAGATGCCGATGCGAGATACCGAGGCGAGGTGGGGAGTCTGATGCCGATGAGCGGCACGTAAGTCTAGGCCGAGGAAAGAGAGTCCAGGTATAACTAGGTATGACGAGGTAAGACTAGGTATGGGTTGCCGATGTAAGACTACTACGGTAGCGGTCCAGATCTTACAAGGCCTAGGTAAAGAAACCTTAGATAGAGTGCACTTAGAGCGGTCTAGGCGCGTCCGATGATAAAAAGCAAGGAGGATCGATTTGCACAATCGAGGACTAACTAAGGTGACTCCTACAACGGTACCAGGTATGTCCGAGGAAGGGAAGTAAGGGATAATATGAACTTGAGTCCTATTTATCTAACTGCGTGAACGTCCGGAATCGCACAGGTGAGAGTAGTAGCGAAATGCGAGGTACTCGGGTCGATATGTAATA